TATGTCAGGGGGTTTTAATGTTGATTCCTTTTGCTACTAGCTGTTGTGCCATTGATCCGGCCGATGCGCATCTACCAAACTGGCGGCAATAACAAGGAGGGAACCACTGTCTACTATGTTTGTGAGACCAACTCCACCCTGGTGGAGGGCACCCCGCTGTGGTACTACTCCAGGAGCGTCGGGGGCCAGGTCGAGTTTGTTGAGAATGGTGAGGATGAACAAAGTGTCGCGGCCTACATCCGTTGCGAGTCCTTATGCAAGTCCAGTCACCCGCCCCTTTGCATAGACCAGTCACAGTAACTAGGTGTATAGTGGCCAAGGAATGCTCTTGTCACAGTTCAGTTGAATATATTTTTATATCATTTGCAACTACTTTGGCTTACAGTGGCCTGTGGTGGACTTGAAGGGACTTTCACCGTTCAACTCTTTTCCCCTTAAAAATCCCTCAACATGCCAATTTACCTTTACTAAGTTGTTTAAAATTCAGACTTTGTCCACATATTACATCATCCTCAGAAACCAGTTTGAAATTTTTCTTGAGCGTTAATTTGGTTCGCATTGTCAAGTCAGAAATCTTAAACTCTATTGTAGTTACTTGATGTTATCACAAAGGGATGAAGTAAAGCTATATTATGCAAAGTAATAAAGAAACATGTAGGCATTTAATACTCTTAGAACCTCCATTTTGTGATCTTTTCATGGTGCTACCAGATAGGCTTTCTCAGTTAACTATTGATCCAAACACCATATGCAAAGAGATTTATCATTCACAGTGCAATACGTCAGATAGTTTACTAACTGTTGGTATTCTGACTTAAATTCAGATTTTAGTGATGTTTTTATCCTTTCTTGGCAGCTCAAGGCCGCTTTTCACAGCAGATAATTAGACCCAATACCACACTGTTCATTGGCCGTGATCTGAGGGTGTTTGACTCAGATCAATTCCGCTGTTCTGTGCCCAGTGGGCTTACCCTGACACTATCTCTCTTGGTTCAAGGTGGGTGCAAACGTCAGTGCCTAAAGATTTACAGTTTTGTTCAACTTTATACCCCTGTTCAATGAATGAAAACAACTTGACTTCCTTTAGGGGTTAACTGTATTGAAAAGTTAACTTTATTTAATCAAATCAATCTGTTAATGCCTTTCTCAAGATAATAAGTGGTGCTGTTAATTATGAGTTCCACTGTAATCACTGGGCCTCATTGTGACATGTCTTGTCATCTAGTGTTGTAGTTGAGGCCTCTTGGAAACCATAAGACCAGTAAAAGACCCCCAGTTGGGGGTAAATTCTAACCTGAAGCTATTCAGATGAACTGGCACTAAAAAGTCCTTTGTCTTCACCCAGTGTGGTCATTGTAATCAGATCCCTGTTTTTTTCATGTCTGTCACATGTAACTTACTATTTAGTTTATAGCACGGCTTAAATTTCCAAAGGTGATCAAGTTTCGGAAATTACCTGAAATGTCAGTTTTGATAATATTTTCTGTCAAATTACATAGGTCAGGGTCAGCAGGGACACAAAGTGTCACACTTTAGAAACCTAGTGCAGAAACCTTGTGTGTTACTCATGACTGGTCTTGTAAATAGCCTTGTGCACAGTGTCGACTACAGCACTTCCATAATTCAGTCACAAGACCATATGAGGTCATTGCAAGACCGACACCTGACTTCAAAGTCTGACTTCAGGCACGGCTGAAGTTATTCAAAGGAACTGCAGTAAAAGGCTGGTTGGTCTTACAAATGGTCGAATGTGGTCGCGTGATGGTCCCGACTGCAACACCACATACATGTGATTTCTGTGGGTAAATCTGGTATCTCTGATATTTACAGCCTCTCAGTGCGTGCCGGGCTGCCTCAACGGTGGTACCTGTCATGGCAACATGTGCATGTGCCCTGCCGAATACACGGGAGACTTCTGTGAGACCAGATGTAAGCAGGCTTGTCATTTCTCCCAATTTCTCTAGACAAAAAATTTTGACATGATGTGTTTTAGAGGTACAATCACATTAACTTGCTACTCCTACTGATATTTCCACTTTTCAGGACTTATAGCTCACAACGCTTGGATTTTCACAGGTTTCCCTTGTTAGGTTTTTACAACTTCTTTCACTTTGCACCAAAACACATAGTCATAGCCGTTCAAGACAGAACTTCTTACTTGTTTTTAATTAAAGTTCCTCCAAAATCCCTGTGTCCTATCAGTGCCTTCTGAATGTTGCATGAACTTTTCTTCATCCCAGTCATGCAATGGGGGGGGGAACATTGGTTCAGAAGGCCCTCTGCTGGAGGCCGGTGCCCCTCTCAGAAATTAGATTTTAAAAAAATCTGAGGATACTCTGCCTCAGTCAGTGTGGTACCTTTCACTCTATGAGAGCAAGGAAGTTCAGGTCCCAATGTGCCCCTTCAAGTTAACGAGGTGTGCCTAAGTCTACCTCCCCCTACAACCTGTACCCTAGATATTACACTGCTTCGTTTTCAATCTCACCCGTGGTAAGTCGCGCGCCGTCGTCACAGTTCTGTAGACTCCCCCTAGTGCAACAGGCTTCATGCCACATTCCCCGGCATGGGAAATATTTCTGAACCAAAGAACAGTCTATTAGCCCAAGTATCATGTAAAGAGTATGGTATGAGACTAGTTTCTTACATGAGGTTGTTTTCCAGTAGTGTAGCTAGGATTTTACCATTTTAGTGAGTTGCATGAGGGGTGGGAAATCACTGTCTTTAGGGGGGCATCAGCTCCTTGAAAGTAAATGAATTTTAAAATGGGGAGGGGGGGCAAACGTCTTGTGTACCACTCTTACCTAAATCAAGTTGAGAGCTAAAAACATAAAACAGCATAAAAGGTGTCCCTAAAAAAATTGGAGGCGGATCTGCGGAGTGCCACCCACTTCTGATACAACCAGTTGAGGAAAAAAGGAACAAAACAAAAACAAGGCAAAGGAATAAATGTCAAATAATTTTTTAAAGGGTGTTGTTTTGTGCCAAGTGTACCCCACTGAATCTGCTGCTGGTATGTTTGAAACATGATAAGTCGTAATAGCCCATAACTTTCCATATTTTTGTCTCTCATACTTGAACCACTTCCTCCAGTGAGCTATTGCCCCATCAGATGTCTGAATGGAGGTTACTGTGACAACGGCAACTGCGTGTGCCAAGAGGGGTACGCCGGTAACTTCTGCCAGATAGCAGGTAACTATGGCAACCAGTTTTTCTCTCTGACATAGCACTGAGATGTGAAAAAGTATCCCAGAGAAAGCCTAAAATACTGCTATACTTTTAACTGTGCGTTCAGTGCTATTTGAATTGAAGGGTTTATTTCCAAAATGAGATATATTCATTTGAAAAACGTGCAATGTTTCCAAAATTATGAAATACTAAAGAGCTGAAGCAGTGTACTATGTGTCCCTAAACTTCTGTTCCACTATTTTGACTCATTTAAGTTGTGTTCAGCTGTCATAAAGATGTGGAAACTGATTGCAGGCAACTGATAGAGAGTGGGATTCTGAAAGATACCAAAAAAGGCATTTGTCACATTTTGGAAATAAACTCTTCATTTACAAGTCTCAATACTATATGTAAACTGGGAGCACATCAATAAGACCATGGGAGCACAAGAATGTTGAAATATCCTCTAGTTGATCATATCTGAAAGAGTACTTGCAGCTCAGCCATCGTGATTTCAGTATGTGCCAATACCTGTCCACTTCACACCCAAAAATGTAGGAGGTATTGTTTCTCCTTTTCTGGCCTGTCGTAGCTATTGGCAGCTTGCTTGGGAACCGTCACCAATTTTAAACATGTTAAGAGCATGGAGAGCATATAGAAATAAGGGAATAAATATATGCTTGGCCAGTCTTAAGCTCGCTCAGGAGAATGAATGTAACTAATGCCCCAGCTGCAGGCGAGAGCATTATCAGCCTTCAGCCTCCTGAGCCGGTCTTAAATGTTAGATTAAGACCGGCTAAGACCACATAGGCCTTTATGTATTTATTCCCATTCATAAATACCTTCTTAGTCAAAGAGTCAAAAGAAGTCAATGTATGATGGACTTCCAGTGATTTTGTTCTAGAATTTTACTTTCATTTTCCCGAACACCACATGCATTTTATGGAATATTCCTTGTGCAAATTGTCCATTTGGTGCATGTGTCGCAAGCTGCATGCACACAGACTCTTGACCAATCGGAATCAATTAAACTCTCTTGTATCTAGGTGCCAGGGCATTATAACTTCTCAATAGGCATTATAAAATGTTAATATACGGTTGCGTGTTGTTGAATAGGGAGACTGTCTGAGAGTATCTGTGAATGCTTGTTAAAATACTTAATAATGTAGTTTAAAATTATCATTATATTTGCAGTTAGCGATGAATTCATCATACGTCTCAGTTTCCCCTCCACCCAGCGACCTACTCTTGGTACCACCCTCTCTATCATCTGTGAGGTCTTCGAGTCCCCCACAGCTGCTGAAGCGGTGAGGGGGACACCCCTTTTGGCGCAGTGGGAGGTTCCGGACCCAGTCAGTCCGCAGCTTTTGCCCGGCATTCCAGTAGACGGTGAGCTGCTGCCAGCAAAAATTCTCGCACCTTGTTGTTCTGACTTGTGTATCTGCTTAATAGAGCCTGGAGATCTATATGCACATGTATTTGCTGAAAACACTTCTCTCTTCTGAAACTTTGACCAGACGCAAATCATGAGTCAGAAACATTTTCACAATAACCTTCTCTGATGCATTACTTTGGATGCCTCAGTATCAGCATTGCAGTCGAGACCATCACAAGATTATGTACACGTAACAGGGTGAATAATTAAAAAGCTATGCTTTGCATTTCATTTTGATAAGTAATGATTCGAATTGAGACTGATGAATTTGATGCTCTTGTGATAGTCTTGCAAGGTGTCATGTGCCCCACTGACCACTTTAGGTTGCCAGTAGGAAGAAAGCAGACATGAGGTGGATGGAGAAGTGTACAGTAGCTGTCAATTCATAAAATCCTGCATAAATTTTGAAGTAGCTCCAGAAAGTCATTCAGTTGTGTTTTTTTGTAAACAGTTTTTTAAGCAAAGTTTTTGTTTTAAAAATACTTTCTTAGTGACTGTTTAACAGAAAATTCTTAACTCAGCCCTGTAGCTCTGCCACTACTGACAAGTGGTCTTTCTCTATTCAGGGGTCATCAGCCCAGCTGTTGGGGATATTCAAGTCAGGCAACTCTCCCCGTCGGCGTCCCTCCTCACCATCACCAACTTTCAGCCGGTGTACACTGGCAGCTACAACTGCTCCACTGGCACTCGCACAGTCACGTACTATCTGAGTGAGTCTGTGCTGTGCTTTTTGGGGGGTCATATTGGAAATGGATACCCGACCATTACCAAGGCATGATATATTTATTGTCAAATTCTGGTTACCGTGGTATCACCTTGGTACAGACTGTGTGATAACATAAACAAATCTTCGTGAAGTAGTTCACCAGCTTTGATTGTTATTGACAATGCGCCAGTCGATATGTCTCGCATTGCAGAGTTTGATACCATTGTGGTTCCCATTCTGTTGAATTGCATCCCGCATGCCTTGTTTTTTTTCAACAACTCGATATAAGCTTGATTTCACTTCTCACTTTGACTAGAAGCAACCTAAAAGGAGAAATCTGCCAGAAGATTATGCATTCACAGGAAATGAACAGATTGCTGGTTTTTACTTTCTTTTTTCTTGATGTGAAAGGTGGAATAGTTGACCACAAAACCCTCACTGAGACACATTCATGAGGCAGGCCACCACTTGTTTGAATACCGAACATTTTTGGGGGGACCCTTTCTTCTCTTACAGCGATTGTTTCATTGAGACACGATGGCTGAGTCCAGTTTGATCTCTGCACGTTGCTTTCCATCTAGGTGTTGAATGTGCACCTCCTTGTCTGAACGAAGGCGCCTGCGTGAACGGTAGGTGTCAGTGCTATCCAGGCTACACCGGCGATCGCTGCGAAACACCCCCTTCAGAAATGCTGAGTAAGTAGGCTATCTTTTTTAATCTCCGAGGATGCCTTATGTTCCAAGATTGGTAGGGCCTGGGTGAGCTGGTGAGCTTAAGTCTGATCAAATGTTATTTGAAGGTTTTGCATGGATGTAGCATTGAGTTAAATGCTTGCTGTGAAACGTTGTGAATCTGTTTTGTCAGTGAGCAAGATTCTGAAAAGAAGCAATGGGCCCAAGTTGTCAGACATTAGGTGTGTCTGTCTTCTGGAAACATTGAAGAGAGTTGAAGTTACTGCAATGTCCATGGTGCTTGTGTCTTTCAGAAAGGCAAAATTGTCAGAGGTGTTTTCCCACCTTCAAAGAAAATATTTGGGATGCTCATTCAAACTCGGTTATTGACGCAGTCGTAAATGTGCCTGGTTTTATGATCGGGTTTTAAAATGGAAAAAACCATCAAAATTTACAGGTGGGATAATGTTCTGAAAAACACAGTAGGGTAAGGGTGTCGTTATACTCTTAATTTGAAACTCTGGTGTGTATGCTTGTCCACTTCTGTTCTCAGTTTCTCCTTGGAGATTGTCCATTTGAAATGTCTTTTGGGTATAGTAGACAAGTGATTGCAGTAATCGTGTCATCTTTTACCTTATTTACGTACATATTGTGTTTGTGTATACAGACAAAGACTGCCGCTATGCCTGCGCCAACAATGGCACCTGTGATGAGGGGGTGTGCCTCTGCCTGAATGGCTTCAGAGGAGACTGGTGCGAAATCGGTAGGGGTAGCATTGTTTGGGTCACAGAACACTTGCTTTACTCTGACCTGCTCTAAGCCAAAGGTATATTATGTTGCCAAAAAAGGTTATCTGCATTGAAAGCCCACAGTGTACATGTAAGCTTTCATGTAATATGTGGCAGAGCTCAACCCATTGCATAGTTGCAACCGAATCGTACACATGTACATTTCCATACATGTATGCACAGGTCATCATTTCATAATAGTCAGCAAAATGATGACTTACAGTGGAAGTTGGCCTCTGCATAAGTCGTCACAAATTTTGGGGTTCCGATTTGCCGACTTTCTGAGGGTGCCAGAGTGTACTGTATTTATTGGTTCTATGGCACTCAACTTAACTGAGAAAAACTTTCTAAAAGTTGAATCTAATTACACACTTAGGCTTGGAAGACTCACTTTAAACTTCCCCAGTAACCAACATGTCCCTTATGAACATTGATCAAGGAAGCTACTTCTGACCATAAAGCACAAAGAGTTTTTTGAACGCTATTTTTTTCACTGTGATGTTATGCAGATTTCCGAGCACTCACTAATGACCCCTGTGGCTGTCTGAATGGAGGAACCTGCGAGCAGGGAGAGTGCCGCTGCCCGCCTGGCTTTTCAGGGGCACAATGTGAAAGAGAAGGTATGTGGAATCCACCCTGATGATAACGCTCAGGGGCTGGAACATGAGAGACAGAACCTCTTGAAACAGGAACCTCACACCCCTTCAATCTCTCTAGGTGACATTCGACTTGCATCCTGTTTGCTACCTAACACAGGGTTCCCATGGTCATGGAAATTCATGAAAAATCCTAAAAAAATATTTGTCCTGGAAAGTAAAGGGAAAGTCGTGGAAAACAAGGAAAAATGGGGTCTCCTGGAATCCTATTTTTATTAGAGGAAACAAGTCATGGCAAAGTCATGAAAATCAAGATCATGCCATGGTTGCTTTTGATGGGCTTTGTTTGTCATGAAAGCATAATACAAAGATTTATAGGATATATCCAATATCCTTGTCAGTCTGCAGAAGTGGCTGTGGCAGTCTTCCTGTTCATAATACCTAACAACTTTTCTCTGCAAAGTGACATTTAATGCCATTTGGATTGCCATCATCATTGTTATCTTGGAAGATCCTGGAAAAGTCATGAATTTGGTTTTCAGGTTTTGGTGGAACCCTGCTGACATTGTGAAGGGGGCTATGTACATGTCTGTTCACCAGAAATTTGTATGCTTTGTGAAATTTTGCATGGCAGGAGTTTAGGGTAGCGGGGGGGGGATGAGGCTTGCATCCAAGGGACTTGAATTTATATCAGAGGGTTAAAGGCATGTATGCTTGGGACCGCTGATCTACATCCTATGAATGCAAGTCTTGTGGCGAGGACATCAACTCCATCATGCTAGGAGTGTATATCAAACCCTACCCTAGGGATTTGAGGTTTAAGATAATTGTAACAGGCCGAATGTCCTATCGTAAGGATGTGAGGTTTAGTCCCAGTGATATGAGGCTGACGGCAAGGTTGTTAGGTTCACATCCAGAGGCATGTAAAGCTTAAGCTGATTTGGTTGTAGGTTTTGCACATCGAGAGGTAGATGCTGGGTTGGAAGGTTGAGAGCTTCAGGGCAAAAAGATGTAAAAATTTGAGAGCAGGAACTGTCAGGTTTTGCTGAAGGACATGAAAAAGGAACAGAACCAAACACTTAAAGTGACATGGGTTGCTTGCAGCATGTTTACTCTGTCTTGTTTGCCCTGTGTAGATGGAATCTGCAATCCACCTTGCCAGAATGGTGGAAGCTGCTTAGATGGCGTCTGCCACTGTGACCTCGGATACGTAGGCTTCTACTGCGAGTTTAGAGGTCTGTATCCGGTGAAGGGAATTGCCTGCAAATTGTACTCAGATCTGCTTGAAGTACTCAGATCGCGAAGATTTTTTACTTGTATCTTACAACCTCTCATTATCATGATTGTACTTCACTCTCAGAAAGTTGAAGCTGAGATGTCGCATTCAAATAAATGGTGGTTTGTGTTAAATGTGTCACATTTCCTGAACATTTGTTTAGACAATTGTCTGTCTTTGCTATTGAGTTTCATTTAAAGGCAAAATATAAAACATGGATATGTACTCTATCTGCACCACCTGTAGTGTAAATATTGCCTAGGCACTTACTCCCAAAAATACAAAAACCACTGTTCACTTCTCAATTTGTGGACAATCATAAAGGAAAATATTGTCCTGGCCACATAGCAAAACATAACATTAGAACAAGAGATTCTTGTTCAGTGAGCTAATTTTTCTTGCACTATTAAGTGATTACCTGACAAGGCAGATGGTTTTCAGACAAAGGTCAGGCAGGCCTCTCCCTTTTTTATTAGCAAGTTGCACTTGTGTACAGAACCCATTGTACTATTGCGACTTCAATCTTTTCACAGCTTGTATTGTACCATGCATCAATGGTGACTGCATTGAAGGAGTGTGCCTCTGTGATCCCGGCTTCACTGGGGAACAGTGCAACTTACATGGTAAGAATATTGCCCTCAAATGCTAATTTTGTAACACAAAAATTCAACAGTGTTGTTTAAAAAGAGAAGTATTTTACCATGTGCATAAATTCTTGAGGGGGGGTTGAAGGGTGGTTTATAACCCTTCACTTTCTGACAAGGGGGAAGCTGTTGGATCAATTGACTTGGGGTCATCTCACGACTGTCAAGATTGTAGATGAAGTGTGCGAATTCAAGCTTCAAGTGTGGTTGGACAAAACATGCTTGCATGATCACTTTAGTTCTGCCATTATCAGATTGTGATCAAGCATGTAAGTCACGTGACATCACACCTCACAGTTTAACATCAGTAAAGATTACACTTTGGGAACCTGGGTATTCCCTTTGGTCGTTTTGTCTAAGGGACCGTCATCTCAAAACTTGTCGGGGACAAGTTGCAGACGGCAACATTGACTTCACCCACAAGAAGCCCTGGATTTGTCCAGGATGAGTTAGTGGCTGTTTATTTTTGGCCTCCATGCACACATCAGGTGGCCCCATAACTCGTGCTGCTGCAGTGTTTACCACCAGTTTTAGACACACAGTGTGTTCTTGTGTGCCCAGCCTTGCTCAAAACCCCAGAAGGGGGACATAATGTAAATAAATTATTTGCTTCATTGCGGGATGCTTGTGGACAAGATGATTAAGAATCCTGCAACTCGACCCACAACAGTGTCCGCACCTTGTCGGCACAAATTTTGAGATGACTCCTAACCACATCTGCTTCTGGTCAGAGAAGTACCCTTGGCTGTCAGATTATGTCTGATGTCTGAGTGTCATTGCACGCTCTGTAACCATTCCTCAAAGTTTGAAGCATTTTGCGACATCATATCAGAAGATATGACTGGCGGATAACCGTCGATATGCTCATGCCAGTAAATGTTTTTATGTTACTTGTGGTTGCCGTTTGTCAGAATGCACAGTAGAATGCTTGAACGGCGGTGTGTGCTACAATGGGACGTGCTCGTGCTTGCAAGGGTTCACAGGAGAGCAGTGCCAAGAAGTCGGTAAGCTCTAAGTGGGGAAAAGGGAGGAAGGTATGGCGTAAATTCTGACCCCCCAGAAAGAAAAGATGGAAACAAGAGCATTAGGGGAATTTGTCATCAATCTATTTGATAGCTGCATTGAAGCTTAGGGGAAAGAATGATAATATTATTTGAAATGGGCAAATTTAGACTAAATCACAAAAGATATCATCTAAATAGTGCCCTTCTACCCTGTCTGCAATACCTCAAATAGGAATGTTTGTCTATGTACTACCAAAGACTGCCTGCACCACTGCAGACCACTACAGCATTCTGTGCTTCCAAATATTCCTTGGGAACTAAATAAAAGCCATTTGATAACAGTGTTGATGAGTTATCCATACAAACTGCCAGAAGGGGTTGAAGATGGCTTGTCTACATAACATGCGACCTGTTCTGGGATAATTTGTCGCATGCCACTTCTCTAGTAATTCATTTTCATTTTTTTTTTACAGAAGGAAAAAGCTCAGCTCTTTGTTTTGATGTCATTCTCTTTTTGTTATCGTGATGAAAATGGACATTGCCTGGGCGAAAGTGCAGTTCACATAGGGTTATCAATACAGCCCACTCAACTTCGAAAACGTGCTTTGAGAAATCTCAGTGAAAGTTGTTTGATTTTTCAAATTGCATTTTCACATGCCAGTCTCCTAAATTGTACTTATTAAACTAGACCATGTTCATTCTTGTGGTTGGCGTGACGTCACTACAAACATTTAACACATGGTCAAGGGGAAATTTACCTTTCGTGCTATTCAGTGCTATTCAGTGCTGTACAGAATTTCCCTGATGTCCCTGGTAAAGGGCTAAAATGTACCTGTGAAAAAAAGGCAATTTTGTTTTAATAATGCTGTGTATTCATTTTTACCTTTGCATGTTTATTGTTTTTTCTCTCTTCACTTATCTAGACTGTCTGTTCCCTTGTTTGAATGGAGCGACCTGCGTGGAAGGCTTGTGTCAGTGTGCCCTTGGATTCGCTGGTGATCAGTGTGACGAACTGGGTTCGTACCATAAGAACTGTGTTCTTTTTTGGAAGTAGCCATTTTGGAAGAAATCTACATATGAATACATTTGTAAAAGATCAGATGCGGAGACACATTGGGGACTATTCCTTGAAATAAGAGCAGCTATATTGTGAGCAAAACAGTTGTTATGGATGTAGTAAAGCCCTGTTCTGATGATATGATGACGTATGGCAAAGCCACTCAAGATGCCAAGATGCAGAGAGTCGCCAAAGAGATGCTGCGTGGTGTCATCCCACCAAAAATATTTTATAAATTAATGTCTAGAACCGCAATTTGTGCATAAAAGCCGGGGGGGCGGGTATATCCTCGCTTGAAGCCAAACTGATACTTCAGCTTGGTGTCTCTTGGGGTTGATGGTTTGGGGTGTCATAACATGGCAGCTTAATCCAAACAGTCGGCAAAGATGAACCACGTTCAAACGAATGAAGTGCATGTGCGTGTTGCTCCACGGTATAGCTCTCGCTCTAATGCTGTTTACACACATAACTATGCGCGTGATGCATTTACGTCAGTTGGCTTTTAACCCCTTCGTGCTGGGATTCTTTTGACCGTGACTGCTGGGCTGTGGTATGCCCTGAATGGAGGGCTTTGTTCATCAGCAGGTCCCATTGAACCAGCAGCTGCATGGTGAATAGACTGTACATGTGGTATGCACTAATCCTCACACAAAGCCGCGGCTTTTGCCGTCTCCCAGAGCAAAGGGGTTAAAGAGTGTTGCGTTGTTATTACATGTCTTTGGAATCTGATATTTCCCTCCCTCTGATACAGCTTGTATTCTGCCTTGCATCAATGGCGATTGCATCGAAGGGGAGTGCATATGTTACCTTGGCTATGAGGGCGAGCAGTGTGATGTGCTCAGTGAGTATCTTAGGGACAATGTCTGAGTTGCATGGGCAGTGAACCTTGTGCAATGAGGGAGAGATCCGCCCAGCTGCATTTTGACAATTCTGAGCATGCATGCTCTTTGTGATATGACATCCTAGAGGGCAACCAAGAGAGGGCGCAATTTTCCTAGCAACGGAGGCTCTCTGGGTGGTAACTGCACTTCACTTGTTTGCAAACAGTTATGAAATGTGTGCATTGCAGTGGCTTTGTTAGCAGCAATAATGTACACTCCCTTCCGATATGGTTCTTTTCTTTTTTCACTCCCTGCTCAAGGCAGATAGACAATAGACACAATATCAGTTGTTTCCTTTACATGGTATGATTTCTCTGCATTAATCCTGATTCCCGGATTTTGACTTGGTCTTAATTTTGACTAAAAATCTTGATTTTGAGAAGTTCAGTCTCTCAGATTTCAGTCTATTTTTTGCAATTGTCACCCAATAATCCACCTGCGCGAGTTAAGCATAGTGTATGGAACTCATGTCTTAGATATAAAAGCCCTGACAAGTCAGAGTATGTTATTGCCATTGTTGCAGTGTTGTAGTCGAGACCATCACAAGACCAGACACATGACCATGCACAAGATTATGCGCAAGAGCGTTCAAAAGTAACCGGGTGAACAATGACAGAGGAATGCTTTTGTTGCTCGTGACTTGCATTCAGACTGAAAGTCTTGTGTTGGTCTTGTGTGGTCTTTTGAGGGCCATAAGTGGTCTCGACTACAATACTGCATTGTTGCAACCCGCTCACCTGTTTTTCTGTTGTTTTTTTCCCCATCCCACCCATGCATTTAGCATTCTTTACTTGAGGAATGTCTGGATAGGGTATTTCATGTATCAGTCCATATTGCTTTTGGCTTTTTTTCCCTTTGCTTTCAAAAATTCATATTTTTTGGGAATGCCAGAATGAAGCTTTTGTTGACCACTTAACAGGTTGCCAACCGGAATGCGTGAATGGTGGGCTGTGCGTGGATGGTGTTTGTGTTTGTCTGCAAGGCTACGATGGGCTTAACTGTGAAACTGAAGGTACACGTTAGAAATTCAAAATCCTTCAGTAGGTTTCAAAGATATTGGAGGGTTTGGGAGAGTAGCGTCCACTGTCTACTGTTGTTGGACTCAGTGGTCTTTGACAGTTTAGTACAGATAATGTGCTTGAATATGATTGGCAAGTGTGAGTTACACAGCCTCACCGATTAGGCCTTGCTCACATGCATGTATTGCTGTTTACTGAATGGCCTCTGACACACCTCATTTTGGGGCATGTGTAGTTCGAGTACCCATCTGGTTCACTGATGTTAAACTTTTCAAGAGTCCACCAATGCACAGTATTGTTGAGGTGTTAAGGTGTTAAGTTGACGTGTCTCTATACATTGACTGGATAGATCATCGAGATCAAGGGTTGGGCGATCAAGCAGCGTGCTATCTCAGAAGACTTGTACTTAATAGCTGATGTTTCCGGAATATATGAAATTAATCAATAGTGAATCATGCTTAAAATGTCCATACATTTGGCGTGTGTCATGTTAACTGCACTTGATCGCGCTTCTTGTGCAAAGGTCTGATGGCATTGAAATTTTCTACCATTTCTCTCATTTTTATTCCCTGGTAAAAGTGCCATACATCGAGATCATACCTGAGCAGTCGGTTGTACGCTATGGCATGCAGTTGTCATGGCGATGCATCTACCATTTTGGCACACAGTCTCCTTTCTGGCGGAACCCCAACCAGCGATTTGTTCAGCTCGCCCAGTCGTGTAAGTCACTTTTCCTATTTCCTAGATCTGCCATTCGTGGATATGGAATTCCAGCTATTTCATATATTTGAGGGAAAAACCCTACTACGGCAATATCTTTAACACAGGCACTTTAGTATTGCATATAAAACTTCCAAAAGATACAGCACTTTCCTGTCTCCATATGCATGAAACAACAGTTTGGTTTGAAATACACATGCAGAATCCCAGTCCATAGGGAGCTTACTTCATTAATTCCCACACAATTCATGTTCACTTTATGTGGCCAAAGTAGGAAACCTTTAATGCGCATGCATCAAATAGTTTTGTGAAGAGGAAGATAGAACCCTCAGTCTACTGCTCACTGAACTTGCACGGTCAGCTAGCTTGTTACAATCTCAAATGTAGCTACGGGAACTGCTGCTGGACTTTTGCACATTTGAGAAAAAAATTCAAGTATTCAGCTTGATTTTCCTTTGAATGAAGTTTAGTATAAAAGAGCTCTCTCTGTTTCCGTGTAAATGAAGTTGAGGAACCTTTTAAAAAAAAAACCTTTTCTACGAGCTTTGCCCTCATATAATCAGGAAAGAAAGAGATCTTGGCCATGTCAACATACTTTCGTTGTGATGGAATACAGGAATTAAGCATGTTTTATTTAAGCATGTCTTTTGCTTAGACAAATAAAAAGAATGATTTGTCCTGATCAGATATACTAATAGATCTTTAACATAATGAAGTCAAGCTCTGTTTACATGTGCACTTTTCCACGGCCGTGAAGTGCAACATGATCCATCAAGCCGCTATAGGAAAGCGCTCATGTAAACAAGGTGCGATTTCATTATGTTTGAGCTCCTGTATTGTCAGACTTCTACTCGGTTATTACATGTACCTGTTATAACACTGTTGGGAAGCATAGCTCATGCATAACTTTCTTAGCCCATGTTTTTCTGCAGTGATTCGTGGTGATCTTGGTCTGAGCAATGTCTTTGCAGAGCGCATCTCCGTCAATGAGACCAGGCTCGTCATTGTCGATTTTCGGCCAGGCGATTCTGGGGTCTACTCTTGTGGGACCTTTGAGGAGCGAGAGACAATACTGATTGAAGCAACTGCCACGACGACCTGTTAGTACCTTGACTTCTTTGGGAAATGCACTTTTTGCTACGGAGGTAGCAAGTAAGGTCCTGATCATAAATCTAGTGCCTTGACTTCTTTGGCCTCTTTTGGAATGGTCAGCACTTAGACAGAGATCAGCATAGGCTACTTCTTGTCCTAATTTAAGAGTTGAAAGCCGCTCAGAGGAGTTCATGATGCTGTTCCCTTAAAAGCATGGAAATTGATTCTTGGGCTTTTAGAGTGTTTTGTTCCACTGACTTTGGTGAAAATCACAAAAAATTATACTTCAGTCTTTTAAATACAACTGAAAAAAGCTTCAAAAAGATCGGTCTAATATGTTTGTTTGTAAATGATTGCAGTCAAGATGATTACAAGACTTGTAGCAGTAACAGGGTGAAAAACAATGCGAAGGGAATGTTCTTGCTGCAGTTCAGCTGCAGCAGCTGCAGCTTGTGACATGATTTCAGACTTGAGGTCTTGTTGGGTCTAATTTTGTAACCGTTTCACTGAAACACTGTCCCAAATAGAATTTTTTTCCCTCCTTCACATCATGACAGTGTGGATTTTAAGTCACCCACAAATTAACATGTAGGCCTAGACCTCTTTATATGTAATGCCAATGTAGTAGGAAATTAGGAAACCATCTCTCTGAGATCTTGACATTTACAGGCAGCTGAGATGTGGGGAGCTTAAGCAAGGTACCAACTACCAAATAGTCGCACACATTATAACGCACCTCTTGTAGGTTCTATGTCCTGGTTATGTAGGGATCACAAATATTGGGTAGTGAATGAAATTGTCATCAGTGAGAATGAGACGCACTCCAAGACATTGTACGTGGGTGAATTCCAGGGTGTAGTTCCCGCTTGGGCACTGCACTCAAAACCTTGGACTGGTTACAGTACCTTTGCATGGTGAGAATTGTTCACTGTTCATTAAATCCCAAACTGAATCTGAGGAAACTAAAACTCTTCTGTTAATTGTTAAAATTGCTTGTTGAATTGTATATGAGTATAAGAGTACTCACAGGTGTACCAAATTCTGCCTCTACAACTATACTCGTAGGAAACAAAAGGCTATTGTAACGTAATTTGATCCACTGGCATCACTGAAGAATACAACAAATACCCTGCTGGCATTATGAAACAGATGCTTGAAAGGTACCTATTTAATATGGGCACATGCATACAGCACATGGTAAACTGGAACGCCCTTTTGAAATTATGCATGGTAGTGGACATGTTAAGTTCTAGAAAATCCCAAATTTATCATCAGGGTTTTTTACAGATAAAATTGATGTACATGTAGAACACAAAGAGTTGGGCTTTGTAAAGGATGCCAGCAAACAAATCATTGGTTGCTGTATGAACTGACATATCATGGATATTTGCTGCACCGCGAACAGTGGTATCAGCATACAAAGTCTATGGATGATGCATGCCTTTGTGGTACAACCACCAAAATGTACCACTTGTCATTATTTCATGGACATTTTATTGTCCTCCAATCTCACCCCTGAAATTGGCATTTTTCATCTTGCAGCTGCCCCTACTTCCCCAAGCATCACCGTGACCATCCCACCCTCCCAGACCAGCAACTGCGTGCCCTTCAACAGCTCCATCTGTCGGGGTCTGCCCTACCAGCAAGCTCTCTTCCCTACCTCCTTTGCCCAGGATGCAGCGGGTGCCGAGCTGGTTGCCTCAGCCATGTCTGCGGAGCTGGCTGACTGCGGCAAATCACCCAAGGTGAGCCATTCAACTCGTTAGTCGCTGTACCACCATGAAACCATGACTTTGGAAAGGGAAGGATGCTTGTCCCCAACCCGTATTTAAAATGGCAGGGGAGTAAAATGTGTGAGAATAAAAAAAGGAGGAAAAGAGACGAAAATTGCTAATTTGATTGAAATAAATTTGCTTGCAAATTGACCCAAGGAATTGACCCCATTTTCACAGGTAACATGTTTTCATGTGCTGAGTGTTTTGTGTTCTCCTGAGGAAAAGAAATCTCTGTCCCCCTCAGACATACCAGTGATGCCCATGCCTTAACTTAGCGGCATTTTGCTTACTGTATTACCTTGAACCACCGATATCTACACAGTCTTCTTTGTTAAAAAAACAATTTAATAAAATGCAACCAATGTACTGAAAGGTGAAGAAACCTGATGTGCACTCAGCCAATGTGCAGTGTAACTTTATCGCAACCTCCCCTGGTTTTCATGGGTCAACTTTAGATTCTCAAGTTCACAATGCCCCTAAAAGCATTAGTTTTAAAGTATCTTCATTGAAACCTCCTTATGGGTGGCTCCATGAGTCAACTGTTAGACTCCCAAGTTTACAAAGCCCCTAATAGCACTGATTGGAAATTATTTTCATTGGCACCCCACGAAGAAGTCTATAAATCAACCTTGGAATCCAATTTTACAGTAGCCCTAAAAGCACTGGCTTTATGTACAGTATCTTCATTGTGATCTGCCCAGGTTGTCATGGATCAACTTTAAACTCCAATTTTACAGCATCCCCTTAAAATACTCTTTACATATACTACTCAAAAAAGTTAAGAACCACTTTTTTCTTAAATTGGAATTTTTTTCCAAGCAGTGATTGGGGTATAGTTCTTTCATTTTGTTTATCTAGATGGTGAAAATGATTGAAGAGTGTTTGACGTCATTCAGGACAGTTGTGTTGGGGTATTTTCAGTGACAAAATATCTCATAAAAAGAGTATACACAAAACGAAAAGTGGTCCTAACTTTTTTTGAGTAGTGTATATCTTCATGGCAACCTTCCTAGGTGGGTCCGGGGATCAATATTTGACACTAATTTGAGAATGCCCTGAAGAGCACTATATTCACTGCGACTGCCCCCTCCCCCTGCAGGTCGTCCTCTGCTACCTCTTCTTCCAGCCCTGTGAGGGCGGGCCCGAGCCCCCCGACCGCCTCTGCCGAGAGATCTGCCAGGCTGTCCAGCACGAGTGCAAGGCCTACATGCGGGAGGTGCTGACTTACCTGGCCGACCAGGCCGAGCAGTTCCTGGGGGTGTGCGGGACACTGCCCTTGGAGGAGTCCCAGCCTAGCTGCATCAAGAGCCTGAAGAAACAGCCGCCCACACTGTCAAGTGAGTTACATTGAAAACATACAAGGAGACATGAAATACTATTTGTATGACCTGACTACATGTATAGAAGCTTTCTTGCAGTGTTACTCTCACTTTCCAACTCCTTAGAGGCAGTAAAAGGGAGATGCATGAACCTGTTGCTTTGTTTGCAAATGACTTTCCATATTCATGAGCTTAAGTGATGTCATTTGAAGTAGAACAGTAGTGGCTTCGTTTGCTATATGTACAACTATATGTCATACTTTTCCACATTTCTTGGAGTAAGTTTCACGTTTTACTCGTTTATAATGTTAAGTAGCTTGTTTGGACAATAATAGAGGCCAAAACAGCGCCCTCTTAACCCTGATGAAAAGGTTTTCTGAGGATGGATAAATGCCCACCCTTGTGTCACTTTCAATTTCATGGAGAGAAGTATTTAGATTTTGCTTGTATTGTAACACATGGTAATGTGTATGAAAACAAGTTAAGCTTGGCATGGACATGCATTCACTTTGTGACGGAGCCTCTTCAGTATCAGCAGTTGCACTTTTCCTTCTAATTACAGAGTTGCTCTGCCCTCGCTACAGTCTCATTGTTTTATTAAAATGCTACCACATTTGTGACCTTGTACATCGTAATCAGGAATAAGTCGCGGAGGCTGTATTATGTAATGGTTGAGTAAAGTGAGGATGTGGGTAAATGTTGAAAACATTGATGTCGCAGTTTCTGTATATTTTGGAAGTTTATGAATGAAAGGTTACCATCAACACACCTGTAATATGTACCATCTGAAAGCTTATCAAATTCTCTTTTTGACCATGTTCATTCTTTGAAGTCGTACTTAATCATGACAATGTTGATTCATTTTAGAAATTCCTCAAAGTGTCGTGGAAGAGCCGGTGCTTTTTTATCAGTTTTTTTTCCTCATCACTGTCCGTTCGTATTTAGTAGCTTGATTCCCTTTTGATTGGTCTTATAGTGAATTGTTTTCATTTGCTGCAGAGTGTGATGGTATGTGCGAGAATGGAGGAACCTGCCTCAATGACAAGTGCGTCTGTGAGCCAGACTTCACAGGAGAAATGTGCGAATACCCAGGTGGGAACAATGTCACATTTTGTCAATAAACATGATTCACAGTTCATTTCATCACCAGGGCCCCACTCTGTGGCACTGCTTACTGCTAAGCAAATTTTTGTGCTAACCAAAATTTTGCTTAGCGGTAAGCATATTTCATGGTGAACGATTCATGATTGCTATGCTTAGCACAGAAATAGCATGCATTAGCATGGAAATGTCCATGAAATACTCGGAGCTTCTGTTGACGTAAAATTGTGTGAAAAGCAGTGCCTTGCAATCGGGCGCAGTCATTAGCCTTAAAGAGGCCACCTTTCCAGATTCACAATTAATGTCTTTAATAGCGCAATATATTTTCCCACCATTGTTCATCCAAGCATCTGTTTTAAGGTATCTGTTGATTGCTATGTGCAGTTTCCAATCAGGTGCTGGACTTGCATGCCGTCCAGGGTGAATGAGAAATTTTTTGGTGTTAGCCGGGAGAAATTAACACCACACTAATCATAAGACACATTGGCACAGAACAGACTTTTATGAGGATCAACACGACTGAATCAGTTATGTTAGATGTCCTTGAACACATTGTCCTTTTTTGTGTGCAGTGGGCACCCCGCCGGAGTACGATGTGGTCATCACGCCTATACCCCCTGGATACCCAGAGGTCACCAGCAACTTGACCGTCATGTGTGAGGTCATCAACAGCAATATCCTGGCCTTCCCAATTTGGTTTGGGCCTGACAACCAGAACATCCCTCAAAAACAGCCAGGTCAATTTGAAAATTTAATCCATAATTTTTTTTCCATTTTTTTCTGTCTTTACATTGTCTTTGTGTGAAATTTATCAGACTCCAAGTCTTTTGCACTGGTCTTGTTGGTGGCTTTTTTACTGATTCAAAGGTTTCCTGCTGTTGAGTGCTTCATTTTTGGCCAGTCGTACAAAAATCACTCCAAAAAGAGTGAATTAACTATCATGATTGACCTTCGCTTCAATATAACTTTGAACCCTTAAAGTAGGAAAGAGTGAGATGTGACTTCACCCTCATTTTGTCGTAACAGGTCACATTTATTTATTAAGTCCATTTTAACTATAAGGTATAACTTTGTTCAAGTGGAGGATGATTTACTAATTTAAAATTTACTAATTTCCTCAAATCTTTTTCAACCAGGTGACAGCAACCAGCGAATCTATATTGACCCGCATTCGCCCACAGCGTCCAAACTCATAATTCTGGGAGTGCAGCCCTCGGATCAGGGCACCTACAGGTGCATTGTGGGCCAGCAGTCAGTACCCCACACTGTGATTCTGAAATGTAAGTTTGGTGGCCTTGAGCTATTTATATGTGTGATCCCATGCAAAATGAGCCACAATTTGCCAGACCACTTTGGAGTCACAAGCCTTGAAATTAATGTTGAACAATTAAAAATTAATTTGAAATTTTTTTTCACACTGTTATGTCCTTTTTCATCAGGATGCCAAAATGAATAAGCATCAAAATGAAAAGACTGCTCTTCTAATGAAAAGATTACTCTTCTTATAAAAAGTCAATAAGTAAGCACACTCTCTGTAGACCTATTGTCTAGGGAGCAGCACTTGCTTTAAGTTTGCTCATGTTACACGTGAAAGATGGTCATATGTGTACTCATCAAAACAAATATCACTTATTTTCAGTTTAGGATAGTATAAAGATTTAAGACATCTTAACCCTCCTATGCTGAAGTCACTCTTTGGGTCACTTGGTAAACACCTCAAAGAAGCACAGCTGTGTCGTGTTGTGCACTGCACCAACATGCAAGAGAGTCACCTTGGGCACTTGCGCACATTTGTGCTGTAAAACCAAAGGAGGGTTAATGGTTGATTTCAGCTCCCTGAGGTATTGAAAGTTGACGGAGCTTCTGAAGCAAATCTTAATTTGACTAGCCGCCCGAAATGTACTTTGCTGTATTTGGTTTAAGAAAACCTCAGACATTTAATTGCCATTGAAATTTCAGGAGCAAGGAAAACATAGCATGTAGTGTAGCCTAGGTAATGTTTATCTCAATTCCTCTCGTGTCTCAAGTGCACTAGTGTTTCAATTCCACTCATGCCTCTGTTCTACTGTGTCTCAATACCACTTGTGACTCAATTCCACTCATGCCACTGTTCCACTGTGTCTCAATTCACTTGTGTCTCAATGCCACTTGTGACTCAATTCCACTCATGTCTCTTTTCCACCTGTGTCTCAATTCAGTTGTGTCTCAATGCCACTTGTGACTCAATTCCACTCGTGACTCAATGCCACTCATGCCTCTGTTCCACTGTGTCTCAATTTATTCATGTCTCAATGCCACTTGTGTCTCAATTTCACTCATATCTCAATTTCACTCACGTCTCATTTCCACTTGTGTCTCAATTCCGTTCTTGTCTCAGAGCTATTCATGTCTCGATTCCATGTGGGTCACAGTGCCACTTCTGTCTCAGTTCCATTCCTATCTCAATTCCACTCATGTTGAGACATGAGTGGAATTGAGATACTGAACTGTTCATGGGGAAGTGGTTCCTGGGACTGTTGTTTTGGAACTTGCATGTGATGATGAATGGACCAGTGTGATCTTGGCTCTCAATCATGAATACGTGTAAGGTATGGGAGTAGATGTCAGCTCCTCTTCACATCGGAAGTTGACAACCTACACTCTACCATCAAACTGTGCTATATCTGTAAAATATTCTCTCCTGTAGTCCCGGACTGCTACAGCCAACCCTGCTTGAATGGCGGAGTGTGCATCCAAGGCAAATGCCAGTGTCCCTACGGTTTTACTGGGTTGAGCTGTGAAAACAGTAAGTAAAACATAACCTTGTAAAGCACTCAGGACTGATAAGTGGACAGCCATGCCATCTGAAGAAAATCAGTGCATGCATTGATGAAGTTTCAGCTCTGTTTTATAAACATTTGAATTTGGTATGATATATGGATTGGGGCAGTTGATAATGAGCATTTGTTCCATGTGACCAGATTCTACATTTAATAATGCAAGACAGCCCTGTGCTGATGCCCAGGTTTAACCAATCAGCCTTTTTGTACTATCTTACCTTTGGTTGGAAAACATGAGTCATTTGTGTAGTCAGGTTGCAGTTTAAGTCAAGGAGATTTGTTGGTTGTTTTCTTGCATTGTACTCGTAAGACTTTCTTTATTATCAAAGATCATTTTCTGGCTTGTAAATTCTGAAGTTATTTTGAAGGATGTAGAAGAGCAAGAGTTAAGTGATGAAATCAACTTTTGGAAATTGATTTCTTTGTTGTTTTCTTTTTTTTTTGCAAAAGGTAATGTGAGATACATCATCAGCATTACACCAGAGACAATCGACTTCCCAGTGACGGGCTCTAATTTGACCTTCCTCTGTGAGGTCACCGGCCTGTATCCTAGCAACCCCATCTGGCTGAATGCCAATGGCAGAAACATCGGCGGCAAAACTGGAGGTATAAAACCTAATACAAGTCTTGTGAATTCCTGGTCACATTTCACAGGAAATTCAAAAAAGGACTGGGAAATGAACCCAAACTCTAAAGAGAACTCACTTTGGTTAACCTTGAAAGAAAGCTGGGAGGAAGCCCCCTCAACAGCTTTTTCCAGTATCATCACAGTGCATTTTTTCACGTGCCCAGCCTTTAAAAAGATTTGAAAATGTGGTCATTTTGACACCACTTTCGTGAATGTGAAACATGCAGTTCTTGTGCAGCACCCCCTTTTCCGATACAGGTCAGCCAGAAATGTATGCTGTCTACTGCAGTGTTAAATACAATTCATTGTCCTGATAAAGAGTGTCTTTACATGCCTACCAAGTCAAAAACAAAATTGGCATGGGAGAGTGGAGTTCTGTTCCCCCATTGATCACTATGCACAATGCAATGCATGGAATGTGATACGGATCATGCCACATGATTTTTTTTAGTATGCACTGTTGCTGTAGATCTACCAATGAGAATCATGAATTCGGGTTCTAATGATGGAAAAGATTGATGTTTGTCTCACTTTCAAGTGGCCTTCTTGTTTGAGTGATATCATCCACTGAGAGATCAGCCCATAAATGTTATTTTTTACTGCTTCCAGGGGGTAGCAATCGTGTCTTCGTTCAGGAGACATCCCCCACTGAGACGGTGCTGAATATCTTCAACCTCCAGCCACAGGACTCTGGCGTGTATGTGTGTGTTGTTGAAAAGCAATACACTTACGTCAACATCACTGTCCGATGTGAGTAACTGTTGAGAAGTAATGTCAGAATGATTAAGCTAGTTCCTTAGAATAGGATGCTAACCTATATGAGAGCTGGAATAATGCGTTGGTATGCTAACAGTTAGGCAGTCTTAACTCTTTTGCGAACATTTGCCCAGGAATAGCAGCACAGCTATAGCAATAAAACTGCACAATGTGAGTAACTATATTGAGGCACAATTGGTATTACTGTTGTGGATCTGAGTCAAGTTACACCTCCACCTGTGAGAACAAAGGAGAAAATCAGCATCTTTCATTTCAGTTTAGACTGATTAGCCTGGTTGGGCATCAGTGTCTGTAGGGGCATGGCTTGATGGGTATGTCAAGGCTCGATAGATAAAAAGTTATACTTTCTATTTGTCATGATCAAAAGAAATTGGCTACAAGTGAGTTTCGAACCTCCAACTGGTCTGATCACGTTCAAGCTTCAACAGCTTAGTTTTAAGCTCAGTTGAATTTAGCCTTTATTGACAGTGCACATCTGTCCTTGTGGCGAGTATAGCAACTACATGAGCATTATAGGATGAAGAAATTTGACAGCTTACAAATTCACTGGTTTCATTTTTAACTGAATTCTCAATTTTGACTGTATAACCATGAAACTTTGCTCATGTGATACACCTTTGAATCAATCTGCATAATTTCTTAGCCACTATTTTTCTTCACGGTCCTGTATTTAATGTCTAGTTCCTGAACTTGCGTGCCCTCTTCCGTGTCTCAATGGAGGTTACTGTGTCTTTGGGGAATGTCAGTGCCCGCCAGACTATGAAGGCCAACAGTGTCAATCCCTTGGTAAGCATAACTTGGGTAACTTCCACTATTCTCAGCGTTTTGCAGCAATGTGTATCTTTGTGATTTCCGATTCTTAATCATGTTACCGGCACAATGCATTTCCCTTCAACTACAAATAAAGTAGTTGTGTGTCTGGTTACATAACCAAACTAGTAAAATCAGAAGGGACCTCCAATGAAGGGAAAAAAACGGAAACTTTATGGTTCTGACCAAGAACCTAATTTTAAAGTCGACGTACATTATTCTTATTTGTACCCACAAACCTATACTGCTTTTTCAAACCTTAATTACCATCATCACATCAGACTTAAGGCAAAAGTGAAAAAAAAAACTATCCGCCTAGCCTCCTGATTTTCTGAATGCAACAAGAGACAGATCATTTTGTAAGATCTCCAAAGCCCTGATCAGATACCTTGTAGACCATTCACAGTTTGCCACAGTAATCTTTGCCCAAAGTGTGCTTTCTATTCTGTAGAGAACAGTTTTGCCAAACACTGTCATTTTCTTTGTAGCACTCTTATGTTATACTGACTTCTATTGCTGACTTTGTCATTTGCCATTCCTTTCCGACCAGTTCCACCGTCATTCAGCCTAATCATTACCCCAGCCCCCAATCAGACGCCGGTCGTAGGGGGCAATCTGGTTTTCCTCTGTGAGATGACTCGGAGAAGTAACACCAGCTCACCCTTCTGGGTGGCACCGGACGGCCGGGTGGTCACATCTCGAAACTCTGGTGAGCACGCCTGAATCCAAGCCTAAATGCAAGCCAAAATCTTCAACATAAGCCTGTCTATCAAAATTCAACACCCCCAAACACCCAGAAATACAACACTTGAAACCCAACACCCTACACACAACACCTCAAGCAGCCAGTATGCAAAACTTAACACCCCAAACACCCAATACCCATGAGCCCAACTCCAACAATCAAGACACCCAACAAGTCAGAACCTAGACACCCAAAACACCAAGCACCCAAAAGAACAAAAACTCCAAAATCCCAAACACCCAACACCTATACCTAAACACCCTCGACCCCAACAATCAACATGCTGAACACCCAAACACTCAAAACTAAAATCTCAAACTTTAACGATTCACATTATAACACATTGCTCCAATATGCCCTTCTACGAAGCTGCAGACGATTTGGAAACTCATGTTATTATTTGTGACGGTATCAAACTACCTCGCCCCTTGCCATTTTGCAGAGAGAGGAGATGGGATCCACGTTGTATTTCTGGGCAGGACTGCAGTCCGATTGGTCATCACGAACTTGAGGGAGAGGGACGAGGGGATCTACAGCTGCATTGCTGGCCCCATTGAAGCCACCGTCAACATCACCGTCTTTGGTATGTGCATGTTCGAACCAGTGTTGTAGGTCTCGAGACCATCTCAAGACCTTTTTTTGTGGTCTCAGTCTCGCTCTGTCAAAGTCTTGGTCTTGGGACTGCTGGTCTCGGTCTCGAAAGCACCAGTCTCAGATGCCATAGTCTCAGGTGTTCCCCTCGAGACCATAACAGAATGCGCATCTAGCTACCACACATGCACACGGTTGCAAAAGGCAAAATTACCTCCGCTCGAGTCAAATCTTCAACCACTAATATGAATACAACACAGTAATGTTCAGACTTTTTGCAATTAACAATGAAATCAATGCTGGAATGAAGACTAGTCAATGCAGCATGATGCAACCTTGTCCCAAGTTGTTACACTATTTCGAATCCAGAGTAGCCATGCTGCTTGACACCATGGAGATGAGGTTGTGGGTAATGGAATTCGCACACTAGACTGGTTCCTGTTCCCTACGTAGTCTCCTGCTTAACGTAAGGCCAGGACAGGAACCAGTCTGTGTGTGTGCGCGTGTGAAAGTGCTTTCATTCCGTCTTGTATGTGGTACATGTTGTTTTAGTAGTTTTGTTGCGGTACGTCTTTTTTGGATATTTGTTTTTCAGTACTTTGCTTACAAAAACAGTCTAAGGATATTTGTTTTAATGTTCACATCATATCATTTGGGACACTCGGGTTGAAAATGACCAGACCATGGTAAAAGTAGAGCAGTATCATTGATAAAAGAACCGAGACATTCTTTAACAAATATTTGACCTATTTGTGCATGTGAGGTTATGCTAATGTTTTCATTTTATTTCTTTTGTACTTAATTGTACTGCCATATGTTTATCCCTATTTACCTTTTGGGAAAGACTAAACATTGGTTTATGGTTGATCTCGGTCTCGGATGTCGTGGTCACTGTCTCGACCTGCAAAAATCTTGGTCTCAAAGTTTTGGTCTTGAAGGAGTAGGTCTCGGTCTTGGTCTCGGTCTCGTACGCCTCGGTCTCGGTCTTGGTCTCGGACGCCAAGGTCTCCGATACAACACTGGTTCGAACACACAATAGACCTTCATCATTGATAGATCCATTGACAATCGTAATACAACTTCACATATTGTTAAAAGGGAACAGATTTTTTTACCCTTCCAGCCTCAAGGTGTTTATAAAATGGATAACTTTGGCTTAGTCTTTGGTTTCACTGGTTCTAGTTGGCATGGTCACAGTCTCCTCAAATGACGGAGCCAGCAAAGACTAAGCCAGAGCCACTCATTTTGTAAACGCCTTCAGTTTGGTTACATTGGTTTGAATAGTAGAAAAGCAAGATAGCTATCTTCTGCTAGAGGTCTATAGCATGATCTGTACCCAGGTATTGAGCTCTTGTGAGTGCTGTGGTAAGAATCATTTCATGAGGTGACACGGTGAGTTCACATGGGCTGTTTGAGGCAAAAATTGGTAGCACATTGTAGCAAACTCACCAGTTACTTACTGTGCCCCTGTATTGTATCTGTAGAGCCACAGTGTGAGCGTCCTTGTTTGTACGGCAGTGCTTGCATCCGGGGCTCATGTCTGTGCCCTTACGGATTGGAGGGAGAGGCCTGTGAGATCCAAGGTAGCGTATAAACTGTTAACTTTTGATCTCGATTCTAAATGAAGATTTTATAGATTCCAAAATGTGTTTAAGGCCCTTTTGGTGTTTTGTCGAATCCCACCCTCTGTCTACTGTCTGCCAAAAGTTGGTTTCAATGCATTCCCTGCAAAAATTCAATTTTCCTAAAGCAAGAAAAAAATTACTTGAATATTCCAACAATTTTTTACACAGGATTTTTAACATTAAGAAAAAAAGTAATGTAATTCCCCCCACCCCATGATTTTAGGGACCATGTTAAAAGTTTGTAATGTATGCCAAATCTGTTAATCTTTGACTTTGGCTGAGTTTGTATTAAAAGTTTATCCAGTAGTTCTTTTATTCCCTCACCATGGACAACTGGGTCATATGTAAATGCCCTGCAAAATATTGTTATTTTTTTTTTAAGCAAATTAACAACTCATCCGTGCCCTTTTATTCCACAGTTCCCGGAACAGAGTGTGACCTGCCCTGTGCCAATGATGGGCTCTGCGTTAACAACCAGTGCTTCTGCAAGGAGGGCTACCTGGGTGAACTCTGCCAGATATTTGGTTAGTCAGACGAAGTAGATTTAGGTTCAGGTTTCGTAGTGCATGTTGTGTACAAGTTTTGAGAGTGAGATTAGCTCATCATGGTCATGCCGAATATCATCATTAAAGGTTGTGATGTCAGGAAGTTTTCTTTGCCCTCACTTTTTTTCTACAAGTGAGAACTTCTTAAAAGACAGCGAGCCAGTCTGGTATTTTGAAAAGGCAAGGTCATTCGAGCACAAACTCACATACGGGTTGGTGTAGGGCTGTGTTGATAGGACAGACCTGGTATACAGGTATTGCTGTTTCCGAATGACCTCCGATGTGCTTCATTCGAGGCTTGGGCAGTTGGACTACCGAAATGGCTCATTCCTTCAAAATGCTTATGTCGGAGTGTTCTGAATTGAGTGAGAGGCAAGGGAACGTGTATACAGGTGTGGGAAAATGGGAAAATGTTCTATTATGATTTGCTTGATTGTTTACAAATTGGACCAATAGAGGGCACTCGTCAACTTACTGTTAAAGTTAATTACCAAAAGGTAGCCAGCGGCATATGCAAATGGATCTAAAAATATTTATCCATGCAGCAGAAGGATATGTCTGCAAAGACTTAAATTTTTGGCTTGTGAAGACAACTTGGAAAAAAAGTAGTTTTAGCAAGGGGAGGAAGAAGAAGTGGTTTGTAACATCGTCGTCAACTCTTAGCCAAGCCGGCTGGTGCAGCACTGGTTGCCTCCTCCCCGCAGCCACAGGGATCATTGTTGATGTGATTCTAAGTAAATCCAAAGAACTCAAGAAATCTGAAGCTACTGGACCCCTACTTCTCTGGTGTTTTCCTCTGATAAGTGAAACCCTGTTGTCATGTCTGAGCTGAGCACGCAGCAGCGCAACCCCAAGCATACTACACAGGATTGACCAAACCAAACTGAAGGCTTGCCCATATAAATGATTTAATGAAAAGAAATCACAGGATAAAGAAGTAAAAGCTTTTTTTTGTTCACAGTGGGTGGCACTTTCAACATCACCGTGGTAACCATCGATGACCTGGTGCCAGTTTCCAGTGGTGATGTGCAGATTGTGTGTGCTGTGGAGGGAGATGGGGTATTTCCCCCGCCCATGTGGATCAACCCAAGAGGCTTCACCATCGCACCTATCGGAGAGGGTAAGCATATCATAACCAACACTGATTGATTAGGATTTATCGACTTAAAAAGAAATTCCCACCTGTTCATGTGGACACCACCCAGTTTGAATTTCGAATTAAATTTCATGACACTGAAATGGTATACAGAGGTTCAACAGCATAGTGCCAATACTTAGTACTGAATGAATTTGGATCTTTTTTGCCTGTGTGGTGATCTCATATGTTGTGAATTTAACTTGCAGGCGGTTCCCAACACATGAATGTGGAGATGCCACAGCCTGGAACGACATTGCTGAACATCAATGACATTACCACGGAGGATGAGGGAACATACACCTGCATTGTTGGGGAGTATATCAATACATACATCTTCAGAATTGGTGGTACGGAATGAATTATATCTCCTTAACTCTAACCTCACTGAAAGCTACAAAATACTACCTAGGAGTAAATTGTAGCATACAGTGCTGTGGCGTACATGTATATGAGTACATGACCATATTATTCTTTGAAATTATAAAATACAATACAGTGCTGTGACACCATGAATACATGACCTTATTGTTCTCTGTACTTGTAACAATGGAAGTTCCCTTGCAAGAAGTAATTTGTAGCGCTAGCTCCTTCAGACTCAGACTACAACATTGTATATTGTAGTACTGAGTCTTGTACCCCAGATGATGTGCCAGGGCATTAAGGTTAAAATGTCAGTTGATTTATGTGCAAGGTCAACACCACAGCATGTTGAAATGTTACTGTGTAATTTTCTGTGAAGTAAGACCTTCTAACAGCTTGAAGCAGAAGATAAAATCAAAGAATTTCGTTTGTAACCCAGACGGAAAGGAAGTAAATTTAAGTCCTGAAGTTTTAATGTGTTCCTTGTTGATTTAAAATGTTTTTCATCGGAGTTCAAAGCGTGCATCTAATGAACCATTTGTACTCCTTATGCAGTGTTCAAACATTATGACCGCTGAAGGACTCGGAGATAATGTGGTCAATACATTAAACTTTTCAGGTGTAAACGTATTGATACTCGAATCAACAAACTCAAGAACGTTAAAGGCAGAATCTGCTCTATACAGTGACACAACGTGAATCTTGCGCACAATTGTATCTTGAAAGCGATGCCATGAATACAAACGCTAAGTATGAGTGACAGCATACCCCCCCCGCAACCTGACAAGTCAGGTCAAAAAATGTTCACAGCAAAAGCAAATCAAGCTACTTTGGCATTTTCGAACCTGCAATGTCTGATGTATTGTTATTTCCCATGTATACTTTGCGGAAGTAATGCCCAAACTAATTCTGATGCCCTGAAGTTTAAACACAGCCTATCAGTATCAAATTTTTAAGTCAGGTTTAGAAGCAGGCATGTAAATTTTCCTTGGATCAGCTCAGCTGATTTCCTTGTTCTTCACATCACAGTCTGGAAATTGAAAAACACTCTACAAAGTTATAAAGATTGGTATTTCCTTGTTTTTTTGTCAAAGTCCTAGTTGCATGCCTTAAGACCTCCTGTGGATTTCGTTTCTTCATTTCGACCCCACAGTCTCTGACCAGTGCGATTACCCATGCGCCAATGGAGGCACTTGTGTGGAAGGCCTCTGTCTGTGTCCTCTGGGTTACCTGGGAAGGTTCTGTGAGGTCTACATACCAGGTATGGTTAATGCATGGATAGATTAAAGGAACTGTGTAACGGAAAATGTTGAGAAAATCCTCTTGGAGTTGTATCACACTACCAGCACCCTTACTATGTCTGAAAAGCATTGCTACTTTTGATTCTGATGAAACACTTAAAAGATACAATATTTGTCGGTTGTGACACTGCCTTGCCTAACTACTGGGCGCACAGTGCTCGCTGAGTATCGCTGAGCAGTTTTTGCACAGAACGCTGTTGATTTCAAAAACATTTGTCATTGATGGATTCTTTCTCAGTGGCTGAGTGCAAGCTGCCTTGCCAGAATGGTGGTGTGTGTCGCAACGGGATATGCTACTGCCCAATAGGCTACACCGAACCGTCATGCAATGTCAAAGGTAGGGTAAACCTGTCTTGGCAACAAATCTCATCAGTCTCGTGTGGTCATGTTTTCAGATGATATGGAACAATAAGAATATCAAAGGAATTATAAGGCGCACAGTATCTTGCAGTATTTGTAATTGAGTGGGCTGATATATTACCATTATCCCTGCACATTGGGCTCACAACATCTGAACATTCCTGAAACCATCTCAGCTCCCTGGGGAGTATACTAGCTGGGTACTGCCATATCAGGTTCAAATGACGAAACATATATTCTTTCCTCACAGGTACCCGTAAAATTAAAGTGACTTCCCCAAGATCACAATATGCTGCCACCAGCTGGATTTTGAGCCCTGACCCTATTTTAGAGAACAATACAGCATGTGCATTATTAAACCCAATAAAGAGATAAGGCTTCAAAGTTTGAGCAACAAGTAAACACCATTTGTAGTTGAATATTTGCACAAGTTTGTAAAGGTTTTCCGTTATTTTCTATGTCTTATAGTTGCTTTGTGGAAAACTATTGGTTTTACTTCTTTTTTTTTCTTCTTCTCATATTTTCTTTTCCATCTACTGAATCCATCGTGTCCATACACTTATTTCTTGTGCCTATTTTTTTTAATATTAACCGTCCTATGCTGAAGTCACTCTTTGGGTCATTTGGTGAACACCTCAAAGAAGCACAGCTGTGTTGTGTTGTGCGCTGCATCAACAGTCCCTCACAGGAATATCAGATTGCACTTTTTGTGCAGCCCAACAAGTGTGCCTCACTGTTTCATGTGCATCATTGTGCAGTAAACCAAATGCAGTGAAGAGGACTGCACAAAAGACCCTTGGTCACACTGAACCTGTGAATGTTTGATTTCCATGTAGAAAATACATGCTCACCAGTGACTGTGGGCATTTGTGCACATTTGCTGTAAAACCAAAGGAGGGTTAAAACACATATGTTTATACTCACTAAATTTGGCATGTACAGATACCAAATGCAGAAGGTATCTATTGCTGAATGACCTCACAGTGACAGCATCATGACTGCCTAAGTAAAAGGAAGCATGAAAATCCCTCTGTTCAGTTGAGCAATAGACAGAAAGAGCTGCATATCAGTATTTTTCATTTTGTTCTGAGATTGTATGACTCCTGGCATTCACAGTTCATAATCTCAGAGCTGTCTGGTCGTTTGATTGTTGGTAGTTGGCGTCGGCTACTTCCTGTACATTGTGTCCAACCTCCAACGGCCACCACTGACAGGTGAAGAGCTGAGAGTGACCTGCAAGTTCGTCGGCGGCCAGAGAATGGACCGGCCCGAGTGGACCGACCCTAATAATTTACCCATCCCAACTAACGAAGGTACAGTCTAGAAATCGGAAATGGATCGTGATGTTGGCATTGATCTTGCAAGCACGGTGCCGCCAAAATTAGCGGCTTCCAATTCTGGTGTGGTACAAGTGTCTATGTGAGCTGTGCTTAATTTTACGCCATGCTAAGCACATGATTTTACATTCACAGAGGCTTTGCATATTTCATGGAGACCATAAGCAGAAAGCACTGCCAAAGGTACACTAACCTAAGAGGAAAAAATTGGCTTAAACTTGGTAACCTAATAATTGAAATCTCTAAGCACCCTCAACCATTTACATGACCATACCAATTACCGCTTTAAATCGTGCTTAAAGTTATCAACTTTCAGATTTTTCTGCAAATTGTTGAGTTGCTATATGAGATTGATCCCAGCTGTAAAGTTTTGTACCAAAACTGTTGCAAAATATTTCATTTTCAGTGTTTTATTTAATACCTTTGTCATGAGTCCCTGTAAGTCCATCACAAGTCATTTAGTCTTAAACCAAGTCACAGGCTATTCAACTGTTACAAAAGCTATCCTTTGTCACTGTTCATCCTGTTACTTGTGAAGGGACTTACGGTGGACACAGCTTCAGCACTGCTCATTTCTGACTATAATGAGTCTTTCTTTTGAGTCGGCCATACTGAAATTGAAAGCGACATTTACTCTCCATTTTTGGATCTTGAAGGCATCCGTTAAAGGAACAAAATGAAATTTCCTGACAAATTATGACCCCCTACTCTGATGAATGAATTGAAATTTGTAATAAATGTACCTGAGTGTCTTATGCAAGACTAAAAAAAAAGGGAGGCTTGGAACCCCCACAACCCTAAAATAGTCTGGTCCCACTGCATTCAACAGTTAATAGTTCAGAGCACAGATATGAGGAACAATGTACAAAATGGCATACACAGGAATAAGGCCTATTCGTTTCACTGCTTTCTTGTGATTTGTAGGCGGACTGCAGCGTGTGTACGTGCAGTACCTGAACGCCACGGCCACTCAGCTGATCTTCCAAAACGTCCAACCCAGAGACCTGGGCACCTACACCTGCAACGTTGGCGACACCACCAACACATTCACAAACACATTCAGTGTCACAGTCTCTGGTAAGACAGATGTTCCCTGCCTACAAGGCATAACCTCCTGTAGAGTACTGTGGTACCGAAGTGAATATGCCACGTGCACAATTATGTGTGTATAAGGGCTGGTTCATACTCGCTGTGTTTGCACTTACGCAGCGTGTAATGTGAACGTTGCATTTCATGTTCATACTTTCATGTTTTCTCAAGTCACGGCTGCGTGTGCGTATCCGACAAAAGTGAAAAAAATTTTAATTTGTCCGAATACGCGTACATTTGGTGCGTACACACTATCCATAATTTTCATGAAATGTGTGCAAGGGCGTACGTTTTCATTACACACTGCGCTTTCGTTCACGCACTGCAGACACCTCAAAATACACTTTCGCGCTGCATACACAGTGAACACGCTGAGAGTATGAACTGACCTTAAGGAATTAGCGCTAGACCCAGTGAACAAACCAACACGTGTGCAAAGTCCATTCGTTTGCACTACACATTCTGGTCTAAATAACATCATGATAAAGTACTCTATACGTGTTTAGTCTTGGATGCTGTTGGTTAGAACTAGTAGTAAACTATACTTGTAAAGAGAATTTCACAAAGAATCCTGTTGTGCTGTACAGTAGACAGGAGGCAAACAAAATAAATTGGTTGTACAAAGACGGCCCATAGGTTCTAATTCCCCTGTCCCATTAGAACCACGCCTGACTGGCAGACATGTTATGCCAGATTTTGAAATCTTAAATTTTGTACTCCCTCAGAGCCAGAGTGCAGTCCGTTGTGTCAAAATGGGGGAACCTGCAGAGCTGATGGCTGCCAGTGCACCGAAGACTTCACCGGCGTCTTCTGCCAAACACCAGGTAGGAAAAGAAGCCAGTTCTCATCAAAGGAAACAACAATGGAGGCTCTTTTATCCTCATACAAGTACATACCTCAGATTTGAAGTTTCCCTTTGTGGAAAGTTAGCACAGTAAAAGTTTCATCTCTTCCAAGTGGGCAAGTAGGGGCTAACACTCAGTGTTTAAATCAGTGGACATTGATTCTTGTCACTGCTGAAGACTTCTCAAGATGATCAGTGCATATTCATCGAAGTACAGCCAAACCTTGTTCATATCTTGATGATAATACATGAACATTACGTGAAACTTATAAACCAGCACTATAAGTCATTGCAACTATTTTTTTGCAAAGAAGCCTGCTTTTATATTTAGGATCTGAGTTGTATTAACTTTCCCTCGAGTCAGGTTTTATGATTAGGGACTCTAGCTGTGTTATTTGCTTGTAGTGACTGAATGACTCAAGTCATTTACCTGTCGGAACTTGAGTTGACTTGAGTTACCAAAATTGTAACTCTAGTTGGACTTGTTGAGTAGTCGACTTGAGTCAATACAACTCTAGTTAACTTGGCAGTGCACTGGAGTTATTAAACCCAGACTATGCAGGCCATTTCTACAACTTATTTTTCAGGGCTGCAATGCTGTTGGTCAATGCATAAGTTAAACCAACCAGTGTTTGTTTCCCTTACTGTCTGTAGTGTTGCACAAGTGTGACGGGCTGTGCTTGAACGGTGGTGTCTGCGTTGCTGGAAACTGCCGCTGTGTGGATGGTTTCACTGGGGCCAACTGTGAAAGACCAGGTATACCTAAGTCTGTTGCCATGCTGATGCAGCCCAGATACTTCTCTGTTGTTAACGAACGCACGAGCAAATCAATCAGATGAGCAACTATAAGAAAATTACAAGAGAGGTTTCTCTTATGTTTAAACCATGAAAAGGCCCAATGCAGTACTGGCCTATACATCATTTATGTCATTTAGGCATTAGAAAAATTGCAACATATCAAATGTATTTGGACATCCAACCCAAACTGATCGGTGATAAACGTGTTAGTAAGCTGTGACAAAGTGCAATTCAAAAATGGTGTAACTAGGTTAAAATATCTCAGGGGCAACCGAGAGGTGCATACATTTCTTTACAAGTGGACAGCATAACAGAATAAACATTTCAAAATATCAAAGAGGGGATGGCAGGGGGGGGGTTGAGGCTTGACTTCAACGGCGGAGGGAGAAGGCTCCCCTTTGTAGGTATACCACTGACTGAAAAAAGTGAAATTACAAGTTGTTTTATTACTGTGTTTGATGATGTGTCAAGGCACCTTTCCATAAACGTTTTGCAACCTTTTGTCCCATTTCACTCCTGTTAAAATTTCATTTGAATACTGTTCACAGTCTATGCACGTAGAGTCCAGGCATGCTGAAAATGCAGATATGCAAAGACACGTTCGTGGTTGCTTTGAAATCTCAGTCACAAGTGCAAGATTTCTCACCTGCTGTTTTCGCCTCAATGTACGTTTGCAAGATGTTGACAAGTTGTTGGTTTGTCCCCTTTTTTCCTCCCTTTAGTGGTAGTTGGTTGCAGACAACCTTGTGCTAATGGTGGCCTGTGCATCAACAGTGCATGTCTCTGCCAGCCAGGATTCAGCGGGGAATTCTGCCAAGAAACAGGTACTCCAAGGAACACGCAAAACGAACAATAGTTTCACTTTAAACAGAAAGGTGAACAGTTCCAAAGACTACAAGTTTTGCAGCAGCACCATGGAGTGTACCCCATTTAAATTATGTGCAGTTCTCCAAAAAAACTAGTCAACTCTAAAACAAAACAAAAGAAACAACAACAAAACACCCAATGCAAAATCAACAAACAAAAGCCCAAACAAAATTCCGCTAACAAGCTAAACCCCGCGGTACAAAATAAAGCAGAACAAAATAAGCTTTTGATTTTGTCAAAATGTAATGAAAGCTTGACTCCCTGTAGTTATCAGTTGGCAAGTACAAGTTGTATCCTGACTCTAAATATTATCTGTGTATAAAGATTCAGCAAAAAAATGAGTTATTAACCCTAACCCTCCTCAATCCTTCACCTGTTGGAGGACTGAGGAGTGTTAGGATTAAAACACTGTTAGCATGGTCAGGGTGATGGACCCAACACACGAAAGTGATAAGTTCTCCACGCTACATCAAATTACCACGTATAGACCTCTGAAATGTCGGTCTCATTAGCATTAAAAAATAGTATATTATATCTGTTAGTGTTACACACAGAAATAACTGGAACGAACTCACTACATGTAACTGTCAAACTCATGCATAGCAGATTACATAGCAGATCATGAAACCCTTTTGTATTATGTGTAGCCCATGTCGTACATATAACAAACAAGATATTTTGCCCTGTATTTCAGATTCAGATTGCATACCCATCTGTGAGAATGGAGGGAGCTGCTCTGATGGGGTCTGCGTGTGTGCCGACAAGTACACTGGGGACACCTGCAACATCAGGGGTAAGACTCTAATGAGGATGTCCATGAAGGAAATAAAGTCCTTTCACTTTAATCATAGTTTTCCAAGTGTGTGCATTCCACAAGTGCATTTGTAATATACATGTATTTTGTGCACATTGAGTGGGGAAATCCTTTGCTGTGTTACTACAGAAAATTGTAACAAAATCTCAAATTGTCCAAAAAAGGAGGGGGAAAGAGGAAAATCTTGTCATTATCCCCCGGACAAATTTGACATCCAGTGGGTTTTCCCAGATCATATTACACCTGTTGACAGCGTGAGGGATGCAGTGGACAGGGCCAAGTAGAGGAGAGCCATGGCAAGAAAGCAGGCCAACCAAGAACAGACTGGATGACGCTCTTAAACCGAAGATGATGACGATAATGATGACATTACGCATTCCAAAACTATTTTTCATTTGTTGATTTATTTTATTAGTTGATGAGGATCTCATCCTGACTGTCGTCCCGAGCACCCTGACACCGCCCTCTGTCGGCGATGACATCAGAGTTAGCTGTGAGTTCTTAGGGAGCTCGAACAACCCTCAGCCATTCTGGACTGCACCTGATGGTCACCAGATCGAGTATGTCCTACCAGGTGAGATTTTTTTGAGCCTCGAGCGCAATAATAACAACAAACTGGATTTGGTTAATGCCCTTCATTAAACAGGCAGGCATCTTTCCTTGTATCAGCTGATTTCCTCGTTTTTCACCTCACACTCATGCCATTGAAAATTGAAAAAGCACTGCAAAGTCTTGTGAAGATTGGAATTTCCTCATTTTTGTCAAAGTCCAAGTTGTATGCCTAGTTGAATTAGCCTCAGGGCGATTTATATCGATTTCTATGGCAAAACAGTGATACATGAAAATTTAAAATGAGTAATACATTAAATTAAATGTGAGTCGTTACCGGCACAATAGCGCAAAGAGCTATTTCTCTGGGACAGTCTATCCATGGGCAGGAGGCCAGACGTTGGGGATCCCCCAGACACACATTACCCTGTCTGCATGTTGCCAATTGTTTAATTTAAAGTTGAGGGGAAGTATGGTTGGCATAATGGTTCCAACCTGGTCTTTTACCATTTGTGTCTCCTGGTTTGCTTTTTCATTGTGTTTTCAGCTCTCATGCAGTTTTATAGGTTTTACCTGCAATGGTCCGGGGCTTCCTCCCACTTCTTAAAACTGTAACTGCTACTCGACAGATTTTTGTTCAGGCTTGAAAATCATACTACTCGGGATGGTTTTGAGCAATGTTTGTTCCGTAACCAGAAATCATCAATAATAACATTATTGGCAGCAACATTAGATGTGAGTCGGACATCGATTAATATAGTTTGCGTCCACATATTCCTCCTTCAGAGCTCATTGGCACCAGACGGGTAGGCAGCATCGCCAATTCCAGCAGCACCACCAGCCTGTTCATCAACGATGTCCGTGTCACAGACACAGGGACATACACCTGCTTCGTGGGACCAGTCACCAACACTTACACAATCTTATTTTACGGTAGGATTTGTGCGGCAAAATTGCTCCCCTCAATTTTCAGTTGCTTTAAGTACTGGAATGTACTATGTGAAACGTTTCCTTGATTTGCACATTTGTAACCATTTTCATGCCAAGAAACACTCAACTTTTGAGAAAATCCACTTTAGCCACTTTTTGAAATGCAAGTTCACAGACATTAACTTTAGGATTTGATTAAGTATGTTTTGCAAGAGCTTGTATCTTCAATTTTCATTACATGATAGATAAATAACCGTACAATCCTTACTTTTAATGCAGTTAAGGGTTATGTTCATAATTTACGTACATTTTGTGCTGTAGAGCACAAATCTGTTCCTTTGTGAAAAATGTTTAGTTTATTTTTTGCCCAACAGAGATCATTACAATTCAGCTGACCTAAATAGATTTGGCCAACATGATTTCTCCTCATTGTTGTTATCAGAAAGTCAGGTTGAGCCAGTTGTCTCCCCTTTAGTAAAAAAGTGACAATCTTATATCTCCATATCTACTGGAAGTATGTCTTTGATATCCATTGATATCCATTGTGGTTGACGTATCTTTGATCTAAATGTACATGCAGATCATAGACATGTGCATGTCATGATTTTGCTGTGATATTTAACATTAGAGGTTTAGTCTCAGCCGGTTTGCACCAGACATGCCAGAGGGGGTGTAAACATAATCTGTCTATCTTTATGCACAGACCAAGCTGATAGTTTAAACCTTGTCCCACCTTGAGCTGATATTTCTATCAAAGACAATCCCCCAGTGTTTTGCACACAAATAAAAAAAGAGGAATCATTGGTGGCACACCATTTGCTCATCTTGGCCATTCCAAAAATTGGCATTCCTGACTATTGGAAAAGACCAACAAAAATGAGGTTGCTACCTGAAACATTACAAATGTCATTCAAATAATTTGTGACGTTGAACTGTATATAAAAATTTGGCTGCTCTGTCTTGCCTTTCGGATGGGGGAGGGGTAAAATTTGTTGCCAAAACACCATCCTCAAGTGGTTAATATGGTTATGGTTATTGCTTCTATTGCTATCCTTACTTGTCATGTGAGATATCATCCTTATTTTCAGATTTCAACTGTGATCCGGTGTGTCGCAATGGAGGATTTTGTTCCCTGGGAACGTGCCAGTGCCCAAAGGGGTACAGAGGCACCGCCTGTGAACTTCAAGGTGGGAAATATTCAGTTTGCTAAATCATTCATTCTAATGAGGACCTAATGCAATATTCAGAACACGTCAGTCCACAGTTTGCGTGTGACAGTTTCCTGTGGTGCTGTTGTTTGAAATGACTATAGTTTATTTTGCAGCTTTTCTGTTTTACAGCATGTCAGCTGCATAATTATTTCCAAGCTGTACCCCCAAATTGTACCTAATTCCTCGCCACAAGGTATCCAACTTATCTGTGATATTAATCACATTATGCATTTTAGTTGTTGGAGATGAGTGCCGTCCACGCTGTGAGAACCAAGGGGTGTGTAAGAATGGGATGTGCGAGTGCGGACCGCAGCATGATGGCCAGCACTGTGAAACAACAGGTAATAGCAAGCCCACGGGAACTGGGGGTGCTGTGAGAACTGAGGCACCCTTAACTTTTTGGGGACAGTGGTTCTGGTGTACAAAATAGCGCCCCAAACTTTGACCACATTAAGCCACAAACATAGTCAAATTCACCAATGTCAGAGATTCATCGAAAAACCCTAGATATTTATGATTTTACAACCTCGGCACCCCATAAAAAAAATGTGTCCCCCGGGCATGGGTAATAGTCTTTACAGCCATATTAACTTTTGCAACAATGTTTTCCAGGTACAGAAATGTGGAACCACTGACTAAAAACTTTACTGGTTATATTGGACGAAAAGTAATGCAGTGCCTAAAATTAGCTATGTATCCTCTTTTGGTCTGGAATTCAGTATTATTTCTTCCATTATGTAGTCTTGACATGATCCTTATTAAATTTCACCCTCAGATTTTAGAATGTGTTGCAGTGTATTATCAGATTAAAGAAGGAGATTGGTATCTGAAGAAATGCTGTCACATTAAACCAAGTGTACAAGAAAACACTAAACAGTCCTTCATTTGCAATTGATTCTTTCAAGAGGGGGATGATTACGTCGCTCTCTAATCACAGTTTTCACTCTGGGTCAGGGTGACGAATCTCTCATTGGATGCAAATGTCTATCTTTGCTTTAAAAAAAAATAGTTTTTCACTCTTGTGCATTTTGAGAGCAATTTTTTTGAACCAGATTCCGTGTGCTCTAATGCCTTTTGGATATAATCAAGCTTTGCCTTCAGGTACTGCCAGTATTAATGTTTTGCATGGTTCCAGGTTAGGTTTTCGATCACTGATCAACCTCGTTTCCTCCTTTAGTTGGCGACGGGTACTTCCTAACCATCAGTAACCAACCCTATGAGCCACTGAGGAGAGGGCAAGACCTCACCGTGACCTGTGAGTTTGTCGGAGAAGGAGAGCAGGCTGCCCAACCGGCCTGGCGCGACCCGAACGGAATACTCATTCGGCCGTCTGTGAGAGGTAAGCACTGGCCCATTAAGGGGAGGGGTTAATATAGGGTGAGTAGCTGCCTCCCCCATCCACAACTGTTTTGTTTGTGATGTGCACCCATAGCTAGCACTGTGGCCCCTTGCATGCCCGAGACTGGTGACAGGGCTGAGGCATGACTCTGAACTGCTTGAAAGGGGTTCAACATACTGTGACCATCACCCTCTAGCATTCAACATGGCATTACCCACTTTAAATTAGTCTTTACAAAGCAAACCTAGATTTTTCCCAGGAACTCTGCACAGTTTTTGTTAAAGAGCCCAGGAACACCTACCTGACCAAGGTTTTGCCATTGATTTGTATATCCAGTGGGGGGTGAGGGGCAACTTCCCCGACAGATTTGTTTTGTTTTTTTTACTAAGAATGCTTCATAGGGGAGTAGGAAAGAAAGTAATCGGTATACTTCTTTATCAAATTATTACACCAAAATGCTAAGAAAACAACACCAGCAAATAAAAGCAAGATTGTCAGGACCTTAAGGCTTTTGATTTGTTTTCCCCCAGCATCATGTTGAATGAACCCAAAGTCTCATTTGCTTTTGAATTCCCCCCCTCCCCAAAAGCTGGTTATACCGCTGTTTGATTGATCTCGCCCTTTATGATATTGCAGATGACAGTGGCAGCCTCATCCGCACCAGAGCAATCTCACCACTGAAGACCGAGCTGACCATCAGCAACATTCAGCCGACTGACTCGGGCATTTACACGTGCCACGTGGGATCCAGCGTCAACACGCTGACAATTGATTTTGGAGATGGCGGTAAGGTCTGCAGAGAGCTAATGGTTGGGATGTCTCGGTCCTCTCCTGATTGTTCTGAGGATTTAAGAAGTTTTTACCTCCAAATTGTCAATGCAAGTTTCATTGCTCTTTATGTATCACTGGCCAAAAAAGTAGTAATGTGCTTTTCAAAATATTGTCTGAAAGGATGGTTTTGTCACCAGAACTTCAGGATTTGCCCACAGTAACTTCCTACTTCAATATTTTGGTTGATCTTGGTGTCCCTCAGTTGCCTGCAAATTTCAGACTTGGTGTATCAAAGTGCAAAGTCACGATTAAAACTAAGGAGATTATTTTCCAACTGAGATGATCATGAGTTTAGGCATGAGTTTTGTGGGGCAGCTAACCATAATGTCATTACACATGGAGCTTGATCCTGAACAGAACTATGATTGGAAACTCCAAGAAATATGTCTCTGAAAACTAGACCTCTATGCTCGCTTCTGTTTTTTCCTCTTGGAAGGTAGCACATCTTCTGCAGTAGCAGCTACCATGAAAGATTCAAAGTGTGTTTGCAGTGGCATAAGCTGGGATACATTTAGCAGTCCTGCCCCCGGGGGGCATTTTAGAATGCCTCTTTTTTTTTGGGGGGGGCCACTCAGTTGGTTTGGTCACTGTTCAAAAACACTGGGCAAGGCAGACTTTCTCTAAATTCTGAAGGGGTGGGGGGACAGGCCTTAAGGCAGGGGGCGTGTGCCTCCATCCCTTAGTAATGCCACTGGGTGTGTTTGGTTTGGACCAGGGTGTGCTCAGCCTTGCATGAACGGAGGAACCTGCATTGGCGGAGTTTGTGAGTGTCCTGACGGCTTCAGTGGGGAGAGGTGTGACACACCAGGTATGCAGATGTATTAAGACTAAAGCAAGCCCATCTTTACCAAGGAGATTGTACAAACATTGAGTGCTTCAAGTAATAAGCTAGCCTCCAGAGGTCATCCGTGAAGTATTTATTTTTGCCTGGCACAAAGCCAAAGGAAAATACAATACTCCAGTGATCCCACTTCCATTGGTCACTACGGTTACAATACTTTAGTTCTTAGGGATACAATCATTTTGGCTGTTCACAGCCAGATCGCAAACGTAGTAGATGTCATGTGACAAGCTCTTGGCCAATCAACAGACGGCATTTGTGGGTGAGGTTTTGTACTGAATAAGGAGAGGTATGTTCATCATTAACATGAGTAGTTTAAGGCACATAAATTGAAGCAGATTTTATTTGTGTTGTTAAACAAAATGTTTTGAGCATCTAATCCAGAACTGTTTGGTCCAGTTTCATAAAAAGATAAAACTGCACATTTTTTGTCCAACTCTGGAGTTCCAGGCATGTCGCTTAGTAGGTTGTTCGGCTGTTAGACAATTTTTGTTACTCTGTTCATTCATGCTTGTACTTCTAATCTAGCTATGAAAATAAACGTGAGTTGAATTGAATTGAACAAAGATAGTCCATTCACCTACCGAGAGTACTTACAGTGGGTGTCATTTAAGCTGTTGAATAGTTTCATGCACATTTTAATTTTTATTTCATGTAAGCACTGCTCAAATATAAAACAGCTTTTCCTTGACAATGTTGTGGGTTAGGTAAGATTTCAACTAACGTCTTTCATATAAGACGTTTGTCAAACTTGTCAGTGGTGGCACATTTGGCTAGCATGTAAAGCACTCTTATCTTTCCACTGTGGTATGGGTTCAATTCCTGAGAGGTCACAGAATTTGTTTGCTGATTCTCTCCCATACCACAAGGGTTTTTCTCTGTTCTCTCTGGTTTTCCGCTGTCTGCAAAAACTGACACTTACAATCTCTAGCTGTGCTCAGTGAGTAGGTTTATTTCTTTGGCTCGACCATATCACAGTATAATGTATTATTACACATTAAAAAATATTTGTATGGAAATAGCGCTTTATTAATGAATGAATTCTTATTGTTACTGTTATAAGGCTTGCTTAAAATATGCTGAGAGACAAAAATTCATCACACCATGTTGAAAGTAAAAGATGCCACATACACCTCCAGAAGGGCCTTTTTGACTACTTTTGTGGGAAAGTTTGCATGTTTCATTGGTATTTGTGCAACTTTTTTTCCCTTTATGCTTTGAAGTGGTTGAGTGTGTCATCCCATGTGAGAATAATGGTCAGTGCTTGAATGGCATCTGCGTCTGCTCAGAAGGATACTTCGGCAACCTTTGTGAAGTAGCAGGTGAGTTGCTGGTGAACCACTTCCTGTTGGAGTAGATGGAACGAACTTGTATTGCAAGGCAACAACAAGATATCAAGAGAACTAATTTGACCTTACCATCACTAACCCTTGGTGGTCATTTTTTCATGATTTGTAAGATATCTCTCACCATAATGTCAACTTTTTGAAACATGTGGACACTGTCAAGGATCTATTATTTGCTACAGTGCTTGGCCGTAGTTGCTTCGTAGGGCTCCACACACACTCAACATCCATGGACTAGTTCAAGCCTGTATGAATAAACTTACTGGGAATACTGTTGTAGGTTGAGTATTGTAGACCAGCCTGGGGACCATGGTCATTTTCTGTACCCCATGCCGATGGCGGCGGGCACCGTGATGACCATTTTATGGATTCACTACTCCACAACAGCTGCTCCTCAAAAAAAAAACCAGTGCTGTCCACTATTAAAAAGGGCCATGAAAAATGTCCAGTGAAACAATGGGTAGATTTGTCCGTGTACATCACCCGGTACCACTGGCAGCGGAAAAATTTCCAAAGTGGGGGCCACCCGCCCCCCTGGTCCCCCCACCCGCCACTAGTGCCCAGTACTGCACACAGATTTTAGCAGAACTTGTCAAACATTTTCCATGTTTTTACATGTGCTTGGAGAGTGAGTGTTAAGTTCATGTATAAAGACCTTTTTCTGTTCTGGGCAACCATGGCTCTTCTATAGCTGATAAAGCCAATCATGCACTGCATTTCTTTGGTTTATTTACAAATTAATTCAATAAAAATAGCACTGGCTGATGAGTTCCAGGAAAAGACTGGTTATCGAGAATTGGCAGCGTCTAAATTGTAATTAAATGATTTTAGTCGGAGAGTGTGTAAGGTTTCAACCACAACTGTGTCTGGCGTGAATTCCTGTTTGACGACACTTGCCTGATTGGGTATGATATCCCTGATGCAGGACAATTAAATTTGGTTTCAGTTCCATTAGCCCAACTTAGAATGGGCCTGATCAATTGAGATTTGTGTCAATGGACAGTAGACTGAAAGTGGGCCAGGACATTTTTAAAACTGCTTATCAGTTTTGAAGGTGCGTACTTTCATGTCATTGGATTCTTATCCTATTCCTAACAGATGACTGGGTGTTAAGTGTTGGAAAGAGAATGTGCTTCAGAGTAGATATAAAAGTGTGCTTAGATGTATGAGTTTTTATTTGTTATTTTTGAAATGTTATACTAAAACAAGATACTTTGTGGAGGGTTTCCACTCCTGATCTTTGCATTGATATAATGCAAAATCTCACCCTTGGTTGGTGTTAGAATTTGCCCCAAAATGTGCAATTGCCCCATTCCGTTAGTAGTTAGCAGTATTTAATATTTGGTGGTTTGGTTGCCGTGTGAGATTTTTGACACTCGGTGAACTATTTTGCTTTTGTACAGATCACCAGTCATAGTTTCACTAGCCACTTGAAGGCAAAAAATAGGACCGTAATGTATAAAGCGTCAATTTTATTGTGTTGCCTTTAAAACACCAGTTTCTTGCTGACTGCCACTGACCTGTTTCAAATCTTCAACAAATTTCTTCATTTTATGTGAAGTTGGAGATGGGTTGACAATCCACATCATCAAGGATTCCCTGGGACCCCATCAGACTGGACAGGATGTCATTGTGACCTGTGAATACACCAGCGACGTCGGCCAAGAGTTCCAGCCACAGTGGATCGACAGGAGCGGACGCAGCATCAGCCCAAACACACTGGGTAGGGCAACTTGCCATCACGGATGTCCCTTGGGGTGGGGGAGGGGGACACTCATCCCTTCCCCCCCTCAAAAAAAAGAAATACAGGAACAGAAATAACAAAAAAAGAAAAATGAGAGGGAAAAAGCAAGAAAATTCTTACTAAGAAAAAAACTTGAAACTTGACCCCCGCCCACCATTAACCCTCCATATGCTGCACAGTCACAGAGGATCCAAAATTCCTTCCTCTTGATTTGCCACAGGACAGGCACATAGGGGTCATTTGACTGATTTGGACTGATACAACAACTTTGTCAAGAACACATCTTTGTACAAGAGGTTTAATGGTTTATATTTTTGCCGCTGATGGGTGTTTGCTTACCCCTGTGTAAAACATTCTGCCCCACAAATAAATCCTGGGGACCCCTATGCTTGCTGTCTTGAGATTTAGAGCTGAAAGCTGCTAAAAAAGAGTTAAGATTTTTCGTTTGTTTTATATTCCAGAAGCATTGAAATAAAAACAAGAATTAGACATTTTAGAGTTAAAAACATTCATACTGTAATTTTTGAGAGCCATGAGAAGTTACATTTTAATTAATGTCGTCAAAGATTTTTGAGGAATATATGTTCATATTCTGATTTCATGGATGACCTACGTATTGGACAAAAATGACTTGAATTTGCATACCGGTGCCACACTCTTGGTTATCACACAAGTTTGTATGGAACACACAATTATGTTTTGCATCTGTGTCCCAAATACCATGAGGCCGACACATAATGATAAATTTATATTCAAGCAAACTTGATATACACTCAAGGTGGAATATGCACACTGTGCATGAAAACATCGCAGCAATGATAACACTGTACCAAATGGGCACGTGACAAACAAAAGCAACAGAAGCTGTGATGTTATTTTATGATGAGCACTGGAATTATTGATATTTTTCAAGATGTGATGATCGGGACGGGACACAAATGTGCCACCTTTGAATTTATAAATTCTGCTGCCATGAATTTTGAAACAGGACCATACACAGGGTGGCATACTGTGTACATGTATCACCTTGTTCCCACAGTTCAGCCAATCAGAATTCATTAACCTTGTTTTGGCAGCAGAATGTGTTGGTAAAGAGCACTGGTATGGTGTTTCAAAGGCTATGAAGTCGAATTTTAAGCAAACTGACCTCATAGGCAGCACCCATTCTATAAAGATAAAGTCCACTTCTTGCTTCTGAATTGAAATAAAAGATCCCTCTAAGATGGCTGCAATACTGTGCCCTGCTTGTTTATTGAGTGGAAGTTTGGCTTCGGTAACCAAGTACTAAATTCTGTTTGGGAGGCTTTCAGTTGTTCATTATTCCCTTTGTTTTCCACAGAGGATCTTATAAAGCTGCGATACACACTGCTAAAATCTTACCAATATTTAAGGTTTCTTGTTTGCAAATGTAGGTAGAGATTGCTGAGATCTTTGCGCATTCTTTGTTTTTCAGGGCGGTTAAGGACGCTCATTGTTTCCCCGACATCTACTCAGCTGACTATATCCGGCATCCAGGAGTCAGACTCGGGGGTATACGCATGTGTTGTGGGAACAGAAGTCAACACCTACACGCTCACCATACATGGTAAGCAGGATGGATTATCCGTTAGGCACGGTATGCACCTTGCCTAGGGCCGCCCAAGAATGTTGTAGGGCTGCAAACGTCTGGAGGGCCTACGAAAATGAAAATAAAACACAGTGCACTAACAAGATGAAAGACTTTTTGTTCAAGTTCTAGCATCTCTCCAGTAATCTTCGATTTTTAGGAAAGCTGAGTTTCTTGTAAGTAGCTTAGTACTGCTTGGTATTAACAATTAGCTTCAGTGTGCTTGCTGAAGCTGTAACATTTGTACTGGTGCGTATGTTGGTGTAAGGCCTTTGGAACACTGGTGCCCAGGGCCTTCTGCACTGTAACGTGAACTTATTTGTGAATCAAAACAGTTCAGTTATAAAACCTTCCTGTGTTTTGCAAAGGTGTGTTATAAAAACACATATGGACTGGCATAATTTAATCACTTGTGCTAGCCCCTGCCTGACTTTGGCCTCGGGTAATAAGGCACACGTCTGATCACTCATAGTGTCTGTGGGTGCATTGGCATGCACTAACGACCTTACTGCCCATCCATATTGTATGTGAAAGAAAGAATAAGCAGTGCGTCGTAACCAATTTCATTACTTGCCGTCACATGGATTTATTGTGATAGAGACAGGCCTCCAGTCTGGAATTAGGCCAACCTCTCTCTTACAGTGGCTTTTTGTACATCAAGGTACTTCTCACTGATATTAGCGAATTCGTACAAGAAAAGAAGAATTCACATTTTCTATTGTTTTTTTGCTTCCCAGACGTTGAAGTGCAGTGTGCCTTGGATTGCCTGAATGGTGGCGTATGCGTGCGGGGAACCTGTGAATGCCCAGAGCAATATGGTGGCGCTTACTGCGAATTTGAACGTAAGTCATAAGCATATAGTTAAAAGGAGGGATGAATGTAAGCTATGGTATGCTTTTACATAAATGTGACACAGGCCTACCGCTTGAAAAGGGCATATTAATGTCGTTGTGTTGCTGATTTGCATTCAGCAAAATGCTGTGTCAACTGTGGCAGAAAATGATTATAAACAGGTACATTTTGCAGTGTAGACATCTTTTTTTTGCATTATCATGGATGGTGTTCTGTTCTGGCACTCTCTAAAAGTACTCAGAAGTTTTGATTATTCTGTTTTGGTGTGCTGTAAAGCCTCTTATTTCGTACAAAGATTTGTCTTGGCAACTCTCATAATGAAATTCCACCCAGCTCACATTTTTTGCATTCGGTGCCAGTAACTTCGCATTTGTGTCCAGTGTGACATCGTGAATAAGTTACATCATGTAGAATTTGTGCAAACCCCAGTATGGCTTATAATCCATTCATCCTGTAGTATGATGTGCTTGAAAATCTTCCTCTTTTTCTTCAGTGACACCTTGTGACTTTCCATGTGCTAATGGCGGTATCTGCATTGAAGGCGTGTGCTCCTGCGTTGATGGTTTCCAAGGCGAATTCTGCCAGACATATGGTTTGTTTTCTGGATTTTTTTAAGAAAAGAAAAAAAAAAATCCAAGTGATATACACTTTAAGAGTCAAGACTTGATTCTTTTGATTTCACACGATTTAAGGAGCCTGGAGTTGGCAACATTTCTGATTGTATTTGCAGTGATACCAGAAACCGATATCATCATCACCATCACTCTGCAAGAGAATGCCCTGCCCGCCATTGGCCAGAGCTTCTACTTGGTATGCGAGATTGCCAATAGCACCGCCTACCCTCAGCCAGTCTGGATCACACCCTCTGGAAACCCTGTTCCCAGTGAAGAAGAAGGTAGGAACACAAGATGAGTGCAAACGAACCTTGTACCCAGAGGTTATTTTATTTCCAACATGGCCTCTAATAGTTACTTTTGGAAAGGAATTTTCCTACCTGTATCATGATAATTCAGTGCAGCTTCAGCCAGGAAACAATTTATTTCACGTATTTGGTGTTAATATTCTAACATGTAGTACATGTTTTTGTTGGCTGTGAATTATAACAGCCACGTCACTTTCCTTTGAAATAATTCTCTGCTCTCCTTTTTGATTACACAGGTAGGTATAAAAATGTGATACTCAACATTGGTTTGATGAGATTTTGATGTTTTCATCTTTGAAAAATTTGTGCTTCCTGTATACATCCATGATGCAACATACATGTACTACAAAGTGTTGAGTCTGTGACCAGGCACTGCATGCTAAAAGAGTTGCTGACTGAAATCACTGTTGCTGATTGAAATCACAGTCATGCACCAGCCTATTCCTCATTAGTAACATCTCCAAAAATGATCCAATTCCAGGATGAGAGCAGGTAGCTGTGGGGGCGCACTGCTCAACTCCTTGGGGACGAGGTTGCATGTGAAGTATTTCAAGCTAAAAATTTGCCGTACTCTAGCAAACTTTTTAAATAAGAAGCAAAAAATTGAGATAGCAGGCAAGACTTTGCTTCTAACATATCCAGTGAACACAGATGTCCACACAGAGTAGGTAATGTCGATGTTATGTAGACTTGTGCCAATGAGACTGGTAGGTTTGCATGGCAGATATAAATGACTTGTGTGAAAAATTTGCAAGGAACACCATGGACCGTACTCACTGTTTTTCTAGTTTTGTGGTTTAGAGAAGAACCGTTTGTTGTAATTCAACAATATCGACCATTGTGCTACATTCTCAATTCCAGCCTTCACTACTTGGTACTTGGGAGAAATTCTTCCTGAATTTTCCACAATTTTTTCTATTCAAAAAAAGAGAAAAGTCACAGATTTTGACAAAAGACCAGCTGAAAAGAACATAAACAGTGCCCAAAACCCCAACAAAAATCAGGAGAATCAAGAAAAATCTGTACCCTTAATGGCACAAAAACACATTAATGTATGAAGTAGGAATACCATGCTATCATGGGTTTGTGCATGTGTGGTTCTATGAGGGGGGCTTTGGGGAGCTTTAATGCTCCCCCTAACTTTTTTCCACCCCAAAAAAATGAACAAAAAACAAAAAAAGGCTGGAAAATATTGGAACCAAATTAGAAAAGGTTAAAAGTTGACATCACGTTTAAAGGGTCTAGCCCTGCCCCCCAAAAAGACTGGAATTGCGCCTGGATTTCCGTGTGCCAGTACAGCTTGTTCTTACAGCACAGCATATTGGAATTTAAGCAATATTGAGGATGCTAGTGAAACTTAGCATCCACGTAAAAATAATAATTTGTGAATATATTTCTGAAGTTTCAAAGGGCAGTGGCAGAGTTTTAAACTAGTACATGTATGTTCAATATTAGATAAGGCTTGTATAAGGCAAGGGCATTATCATTGCCACATCAAACAAATCACAAAGTCGTATTGTTTTTTCCATATACGGTTGTTTTCTCGTCTTTGTAGGGGGACCACAGTCATCCCATCATATGATGACTGAGGACATCTCCCCGACAGCCACGAAGCTGATCCTGAACAGACTCATGAGAGAGGACTCGGGAACTTACACCTGCCTTATTGGTCCTCACAGGGACTCCATCCCACTCATCATCTACAGTGAGTACCTCCAAAGTTCTGTAAAGCGGCCAGGCCTTGCCACTGGATGGCGTACATGTACATCGGAACTGTTCTGATTTTCAAGTTTTCAAACTGCAAAAATCAGAATGTTGCAATTTCAAAAAAAAAAGGGAAAAAAAAACGTCCTGGCAAAAGAGGACACTGTGTGCACAAAAAGGGGGTGCAGTTATGTGTGTACATGCATGACGTACCTGTAATAACTTCTCTCGTGTGACTGCTTGTTTTGCTATGGGTGGGTAAAATGGGTGTTCTGATTTCTGCCTTTTCAGTGTTGGGAGGTATGGGGCAGCTAGGCTATGTATGTGTGGGACAGCTGGGCTATGCATGGGACAGCCAGGCTATGCATGGGAAGCCAGGCTATGTATGGGACAGCTGGGCTATGCATGGGAAGCCAGGCTATGTATGGGAAGCCAGGCTATGTATGGGACAGCTGGGCTATGCATGGGAAGCCAGGCTATGTATGGGAAGCCAGGCTATGTATGGGAAGCCAGGCTATGTATGGGACAGCCAGGCTATGCATGGGACAGCCAGGCTATGCATGGGACAGCCAGGCTAATCATGGGAAGCCAGGCTATGTATGGGACAGCCAGGCTATGCATGGGACAGCTGGGCTATGCATGGGACAGCCAGGCCATGCGTGGG